ATTGCTACTGATCTTACATGTCGACGGCGGACGTCGAGCCATGTGTTAAGTTAATTCGTACGGTGGGTTTGTGCTTTTTGGTTCTTACAATAATATTGTTAATAATAGTTTGACTTCCTACACAACCTACACTAGAAATCCGTTTTATTGAAATATATTATTTACTAAATACCTAGAGTAGTTATGGTCTCTTAAAATCTCTGCGGTGGTATCGTGTGCGTTAGGTGGTTACGTTCCCTCAAATAAAGTATAGTTGAGTTGTTTAGTTGAAATTAAAAAAGCAGCCCTTGCTGAGTTTCTTGCCGTTTCTTGTCAGTACGAGATCTCCCGCCTTAGTTTTGCGAACCATTGGTAAAGTTTTCGACTTTCACAAGTACTATGTAACAGCCTAGACTGAATTGATTTTGATATTTATGTTAATATCATTCGTTTTGTGGATGCATAATGACACTTCATCTTCATCATCATTTTTGTTCTCCATTCCAAACCTGAATTCAACGAAAGTTACGAGCAACCAATAAGTTGGCTCATCACTAATGTTGACGTATCAACCAAACATCGTTCCTTTACATGTAACATAATAAACAACTTAAACTTACAATTAAAATAAATTCAAATTAGTTTGAAAGTGAGATATTATAAGAAACACAAAACGATGTCATATTTATTAATCGAAAATACTCAATTTACATTTATTACGTCAGAAATAAAATTTGAATGAATATCATAAACAAAATCCAAAAATCGCGAGTGACATCTAGTATGATTTCAAGAACTAATTTTTATTTTTTAAATACTTCCTCATTGTATATAAATTGGGAGGCCACTGTTAATATCCCAATTTCTTTCAATTTATCTCTAAGTGATGTTCTTGAACCCAATTGATAAATAGCCCTTACTACTCTTTTTTGTAAAATAACTATAGACTCTATATCTGCCATACCCCACATCAGAATGCCATATGACATAACGCTATGGAAATAACTAAAGTATATTGTCATAGCTATCTACATCTGTAAGTTGCCTAATTTTTTTATAGCAAATAATGAAATGTGAGGATGCCATTGCAATTTAGAATACAGCGTTACATCCAAGAAGATTGTTGAATCACCCAACTCGAGCTTTTCATCATTAAGTTTAATTTCTGTTAATTCAGCTTTTACATTAGATAACATAAACTTTATACATTTCGTTTTTTTTTTCATTTAACTGGAGATTATATATAGTAAACCCGTCATAACCCATTATAATATGTGAGAGAGCATTGTTTACATCGTCAAAATTATTTTGACATCTATCAATATTGAATATTAAAGAAGCATCATCTGCAAATAATACTATATCGCATAAAGTTTCAACAAAAAATGGCAAATACTTTATGTATGTTAGAAACAGAAAGGGACCCAGAATAGATCCATGGAGAGCCCCCATTTTTACTTGTGAACCAGGTGATCTCACACCGTTTATAGTTTGAGTTCCGAAACTGAGGTACGACAATATTAGTTGTAGGGCAGAGTCTTTTATACCATAGTAATTTAGATTAGTTACCAGTGTTCGATGCTCAACGCAATCAAATGCCTTGGATAAGTCACAAGATACTCCAAGAGCATTCTGTGACGCCTCCAAAGCTTTGAATATATGTTTAAGATGTGCTACACCAGCATCAGCAGTAGAGGAATCAAAAAAGTAGCGACATCTAGTTTGATTTTGGCAACTAATTTTTTTTTAATACTGCCTCATTATCCTAAATACTTCGGTTTTGACTCGAGTTTTTCCCCCACGTCCTGGAAAGATGCAAACGTCATTCCACTTCCGAAAAAGTCAAACCCTTCCGAATTCTCCGAAGAAAAGGAAGAATAGAAATATCGTCCTATTTCTATTCTTCCTTTTCTTTCCAAAGTTCTTGAGAAACTTGTCTCTCGGCAGCTTACTGGTTTCCTTACTTCCAACCAAATCCTCAATCCTTTTCAGTCTGGTTTCCGTTCGGGCCATAGCACTACTACTGCGCTGGTTAAAATTACCGATGATATTCGATGGGGTATGGAGAACAAACAGCTCACGCTGTTAACGTTACTTGATTTTAGTAACGCCTTCAACTCCGTTGATTTTGACATTTTTCTCGGTGTCATGGCTTAATATATCTCCGGCTGCAATTGATTGGTTTCGAAGTTACCTGCTAGGGCGCAGGCAGCGTATTCGTGTTGACGATACAGTGTCTGCATGGTGTGATATTGATGCCGGCGTTCCTCAGGGTGGCGTCTTATCTCCTCTGCTTTTTTCTATTTTTATTAATTCCATCACACAGTCGCTTTCATGTTCCTATCACCTTTACGCTGATGATCTCCAGATCTATACTCAGGCACCGTTAACTAACCTCTCGAGGGCTGTTTTAGTTACTAATTCTAACCTGTCACTTATCAGTGCCTGGAGTAAATCATACGGTCTAATAGTTAATTCATTAATAGTTAATCCATCTAAAACTCAAACTATAGTAATAGGCAGTCGTCATTTCGTTTCCCGGATCGACTTTTGTGAGCTACCTTCTGTCATTTTCGACGGTACTGTTATCCCTTATTCCGAAACTATCAGAAACCTTGGAGTTATTTTTGACCAACAGTTTTCTTGGAAGCCTCAGGTGGAAGCAGTCAGGAAGAGGGTGTTTGCTGTGTATGGTTCACTGAGTCGTCTGCGTAATTTTTTGCCGATCAGTACCAAAATCACTTTGGCGCATTCCCTAATGTTGTCTATTATCGACTACGCTGATGTGAGCTATACAGATATCTCAGAAGAACTTCTCACTAAACTGGAACGTCTGCAGAATGTATGCATTAGATTTATTTTTAATCTTCGAAAATATGACCATGTGTCGTATTTCCGTTCAAAGTTAAATTGGCTTCCAATTCGCCGGCGCAGGGACTTGCATACTCTCACGGTTCTTTACTCTATACTTTTCCTCCCATCATCTCCACCATATCTTAAACAATCATTCTCATTTCGGTCCTCTTCATCACAATGTACATTACGTTCCTCTTCAAACCTCACTCTCGAAATCCCTCGTCACTATACAGATTTCTATTCTTATTCTTTTGCTGTGCATGCTGTGCATCTGTAGAATTCTCTTCCAGAGGGTATCAGGAGGGCTCGATCATTGGGATCCTTTAGCGATGAAGCTAGAAATTATTTCCTTTCCACATCTTAAAACTATTTTCATATTATTCTTTCACTATTAAACCGTTTAATTCATTTCATATGTATTCATTTTTTATTTTTATTTATTATAATATATTAACGCTATGTATTTATTTATCCTTCTCTATATTGCACCCACTCCCCATAGTATCTTTATTTTTTATCCATTTTCACCATAGGTTGTCTGGAAGAAATTGCTGTTCAGCAATAAGGCCGCCATTTGTTTACTCAATCTCTTAGATAATAAGCTTTTTTGTAAACTATGTGTCATATTTAGTGCAATAAAGTATTTTATTATTATTATTATTATAACCTTGATAATAATATTCAAAGTATTTTACTCTGATTAAGGTTATCATAAATTTGTAAATTAAATCTTAAAATTTAGGAATGACATATTCATTGGCTGTATACTGGTTTTGCGGATTCCTTAATTTTCAAATTTCTTTTTTTTTATAAATGATTCTCTTTATATTCACATTAAAATATGCATTATACTTTAATTTACCTGATTAAATACTCTTTCTAAAAAATAATTTCATTACTTATTGAACCAAAATTTCATAAAAAGCTATTTACTGTTTGTACTGAATGGGTGACTCCCAGATGCGAGCTCAAAAAAATATTTTGTGTAAATGTAAAAATCTCTATTCAAATAAGCTTATTACAAATACTTTCGAATCGTCCCAAAGAGGTTAGATTTTTATTCAGATAAAAAGATTATAATACGATTAATAATTTTTCAATCTTAATGTATGAAATTGGAAATAGTTTTAAAAAAAATAATAATGGGAAATATTGTACAATAATGATAATTTTGGTATTTTGTTGACAAACAAATCGCGGTTACTTCGATATATATATAAATCGGTTTTGAGAGTTTAAGCTTTTGAACGATAGTCAATAAAAAATTATATCACGTAGATTTTTTTTTAAATAAAATGGTAAAATATGGTATAGTCTAAACATGGATTCAGTACTTATAAAAAGACTAATAACTCCGAAAAATTGCTTTTAATTGCTTGTTATACAGAAGCTTATCCGAGCCGATAAGGGTATCTCGCGTTTATAAAAAGCATCGTTCATTAAAAATATAAACTAAAATAACCCTAGTGGAAACATTTGTATTTTATTGGTAACGGTTTTGAAATATTTAGTCACATTAATAAACGTATAATTATTATTATATACAAATACACATATAATAATTATAACATTAATTTCGTTAATATTAAATTATTACAATAAGATAATACGATACTAATGAGAAAGTATTTAAAAAAAAAGAAACTACAAAAAATAATTTCACTAGATGGCAGCACAAATTGTAGAATCTAAATCAATCTAAATGTCAATGAGGAAGTATTTAAAAAAAACATTAGTTCCCGAAATCTAACTAGATGTCGCCACGGTATGTTCTTGATTTCTCCATGATAACCTATCCGGTTTTCTTGGAAAAATCAGGAAGTTCATATAAAAAAAACGTGAGCACTAAAAAGCATCTTCACTAGATTGTGACTCTAGCAAAAGTTCATTTTGCAGGAAATTATTCGACCAAAGATAGTCATTTTCGTTCCTGTTAACTAACATACTTATTAAAAAACGGAAATTTGAAAAGTTCAAAACTTAGATATCAATACAAATACGAAAAAGTACAAATAGAGTTTGACTTGTTTATTGAGTTATGAAAACTAATTTACTTTTAAACATGAAAGAAAACCGAAAAGGTTGTCATGGAGAAATCAAGGACGTACCGTAGCGACATCTAGTTAGATATCGGGAACTAACGTTTTTTCTTAATACTCCCTCATTGGTATCAAAGAAATATTTACTCGTATCGTTCATCCGTTCATCCCTACTCTTTGTTGTCAAGTCATCGAATGAAAGTATTTTCATTCAGTACATGATAGTATAGTATATTTTTAATGTAAATAAATTACTGTCCTATTGAAAAAATAGGATGACTTTATTTACTTCGTTCCTAATCCTTGTTGGTCTGATAGGCCTAACTTTTTGTGCTGTTAACATAGACGAAGAAGTTGGAAATGGACGAAACATCATTGAAGGCAGAGTTTTTCCTCCTGAGGATCAAGATAAGAATGGTTGGCAAGTAAATACAAGAATACATGTAAATGGAGGGGAATATATTGGCTTCATTAGAGAGGATGGTACATTTGTTATACATAATGTACCATCGGGATCTTATGTTGTAGAAGTTGTCAATCCGGATTACATGTACGAGCCAGTACGCGTTGAAATTAACTCCAAGGGCAAATATAGAGCTAGAAAAGTTAATTACATCCAGACTTCACAGGTTATTCAAGTTCCCTATCCACTTCGGATGAAACCACTATCTAAATTCCGGTATTTCCAAGTACGTGAGCAATGGAGACTAACAGATTTCCTATTTAACCCAATGGTCATCATGATGGTACTACCCCTGCTGCTGATTATGATCTTACCCAAAATGATGAATGACCCTGATACTAAGGAGGAATTAAAGCAAATAAGCAATCTGGCAAAAATGTCTGAGATGCCCGAAATGTCAGAAATGTTTACTTCACTTTTCAGTGGAGGATCTACAGCAAAACAAACCAACTCTAAGGCGAAACAAATAAAGAAGAGACAGTAATCATATGTAGTGATTCTAATTTATTTACCATATTGTTTAAGTATTTGTGATTTTATATAGGGATAGTTAAAAATAAACTTTGTAAATGAGACTTTTTGTACCCTTTATTCTAGATTTACTTTCTGCCAAATGATTTCATCTGTATCAATTTAAAACACTAACCACACCGGGTACAACAGTACTGATAATTATTAAATCAGGGCAGCAAATTTGGTTAAGGATTAAGTGTAGAAAATTGGAGCCCTCGCACATAATTAACCAGATGTTCTAGAGACTAAAACAGGTTCTGTGAACACTAGTCTGAGATGTTGGTTGCCTAAAATAAAAGTATATCTACTAACAATACATATTGTTGGTATATTCTAATATTAAAAATATACTATGTGGAAGTTTTTTAAAATATTTATTTATCCCTGCCTACCATGTTATTGTCTACCATTTAATCACCAGCATGTTAGATTATACAAAACAGTCAAACATTTCCACCTTATTTAAAACATTGAAAGTAGAGTTCAAATTCAATCCAGTAAATTTGACATATAATGGTAACTTGATGTGCAGCTGTGTGTACTTTCTTTTAAGTATTATTGAGATCTCTGTGAGATTTTCTTTTGATTCCACTGCCCCTGCTGTTTGGCGATATCATTAGATTTTTATAGAATCAAGGAGTAATGGGTGCAATATGGTTGTGCCCTGCAAGTGAATATACAGGTATCTATGTTATATTTAACCAAATAAATTTAAATTAAAACACGAAATATAGAATCATATTTAATTTTATTAAGAAATAAATGTATAAAGTTTTAATAGATTCAAAGTACACTACTGATTTATGTAGTGACTAAAAAAATTATTTTACACACAAAAATACATTTTATAAAAGTAAAAATTAAGAGGTCAGTCATAGGTAATTTTGGACGGAAACTACTTAAGTAACATGATTACTTATAGAATATCTATTAAATTTACCTTATAAAATAATAATTTGATACACAGATGAGGAAAATGATTAAATATTTTTATTTCTGGACGGTCATTTTTTGTACAATATATTTAATTATATTTTTTTTGAGAATTATATCCAATAAATCAATAAACATTTCCAACTTCATACATTACAATTGAAAAAAATATTCTTTCATGTTAAATTATTATCAATTCCATTTTTTGCACATTAAGGCATTCTGACAATATTATAGCCAATTAATTATTTTGGTTTATATAGTTTTATTGTCTACACACGAAAAATACAAAATCTTTCTTAATTACTAAGGATTGCTACATTCATAATAAATATTTACATAAGAACATGAGATAAAAGAGTTTCTTCAATTAATAATAAATTAAATAAAAAAATTTAATAGTATGTTTGTAAAAAATAATGAAAAGTATACATCATAGACATGAGAATTTAGATTGAAAAACGAAAATAAGTTCAAAATATAATTATAATATCTCTTTCAGATTGGTCGAAGTGGTCGTCATATAGAGTACAATATGAAAGCCACAGATTGCCGGCACCACTCATGCGCACATCATCGACCAGTGTAAATAAGCCGTAAAGGGAATGATCAAGGGCGCATCCATACCATAATTAGGGTTCAGTAAGCGAATAAGAACAGAGGAGAAACAGCCAATATTTCTTCGTTTTGTACAAATGTCTGTGGTATCAGTTCAGTTCAGTTTCACTTTGATTGTATAAGTCTGGTTACACTCTTTAGAATTTATCAATTAATTTTTCTTAATGATATAAATACATGCGAACGAGAAGGCTCTTTTTGTTCATTACTTATAAAAATAAATACATATAGGTACATTTCAAATGTCACATTATCGGCATTTCATGCTTTTCAATTTAAGACGATATGATATACTCCCGATATGTCGTATTTTGTTATATATATTATTATTATTATTTTTGTTTTATATACATACATATAATATTACATGACAACTGTAATCAGTTGTATAATTAGCAAAAATGCACCACCCTTTACACAAGATGCGGAGGCTGAAATAATGAAATTGGTAAATGCAGGTTTTGTGTTGGTGTAATAGCGATAGGCTTTTGATAATATTGTGGTTATGCAAAAAGTCAGTTGAAATATCGTTAGTATTATAATATTATCGCTGGTTTGCCATATTATAGCTTAGATAGTTGTGTTCATAGCATGTTATTTAAATATAAATAAGATCAGGTTTTAAAATAATATTATATTGCACAGTCAACTGCACGTCAGACTATACAAGCTATCTCATATTTATACTCAATTTTAAACCTTAATTTATTGATGGTAGAGGTCAAAATTCATTGCAGAAATATGGCTTATAGCCCTGTGTACTTTCACATAAGTAACATTACTCGTATTATCACTAACACCGAGTATACAGAGATAGATGTATAGCAAAATACGATAGTTCCATTATTGATAGCCAGATTAAGCAGATTGCGTTCTAGTCGCTGTGCTAGCAGATTATTGTATAAAAGTCAAATAATTCTATTACACCAACACTGTTGTATTTATAAAGACGAGTTACAACTGGGACTAAAGTACAGATAGCAAAAGAATAATCAGATTTCTTAAACTACAATGAACACTTCCTACTAAACTCACTACCAGTCTAAACTGGAATGGAAAAAAAGGTTATGAATGTATAAGGTTTTATTTTAAGATTGGAGACACTATGACTACGGAATGAAAACTGTGAATGGTAACAAATATCCAAATTTTGCTATTCATCCGTCGAAACAGGCGTTACAACATAACTACTGTTATTATTATATATATCTAATCTCTAAGGCGGTGGTTAATAAAAAAAACACGTACATATTCTTATTTAGTTAATTGGCAATCACATCTTAACTAATATAAATCAGTTATAACAACTGACCAACTCATTTCAGGTTGAAGCATTCTTTAATTAAAAATTCTTCAAAAGTCTATTCGATAGATTTAAAAGTCTACATAAAAATTGCTACTTATAATTACTATTACACATTTTAAAATGGGCAAAAATTTAAAGAAAACTTGTGATGATTACGTCTCAAACTAATGCCAAATGTCATATTAAGAAGACAGTGAATGAAAAACACTATTTAAATCTTGTTTTAAATAACCATTTTTTTTTTTCAGATTATTGCTGTTGTGATATTCGACCATATTATAATAGGATTATGTATGTACAAATCTTACAAGCATTTAAAATTATTGTTAATGACAAATGAGTTCCAAAAGTAAGGTTGTTACAAAACTATGTACAATCCTAGCTGCCATTATAATAAGAGGTACATCTTATTGGACGTCAGGAGCGGTCAAGCAGTTGCTTTTGGCGCCTAAGCGGATGATAGACGAGAGCATGTATGACATTCGATGACGTGCATTTTCTTGGACACGTCACAAGCTTTCGGATTTCGACTCATCAAAAAGTGAGATAAAGTTAGGTACGTCGTAATTTCATGTTTTCTGCCGGAGTCGCTGCCACGGCATCCTAATGAGATGTACCTCTTAGAATTTTTGAAATAAATATAGAGGGATATTACGTCATCCCAAACGAGAGATTCGGTGTAAGGAACCGATACAGGGTGATCAGTATAGCGGCGAGTAGTACCGTAGCAGCGGGCGGCAGCCGCGGCGCTGCGTTGTAGATGGCGCAGTACGGGCACTGCGATGAGCCGCACACTTCGCAAATATTCAGAAGGTAGGTCGGCAGCGCGTCGAATATCGACTCGTTGAAGCGTTCTGTGACGGCAATATAAACGCATGGTAGTAATGTATTTAGATTCCCTGAGTAAATGAGAACGATGCGAAAGTGAGATATGGATAACGATATTATAAAGGAGGCTTAATTTTTTATTTATTTTGTGTTTATAGGAATTTACACCTGACATTACCCGGCTCTCGGAGTGCATCAAAGTATAAATCATAATCAGTGGTCGGAATTAGGTAGAGTTATTCATGTACTTACACTGATTTCATACAGCGAAAGAATAAAGTGGTTATGCCTCAAATCCCGAGATTAATTTTAAAGAGCAGAAAATTACCGTGATTTTTTAAATAAAAAGTTATTTACTTTTACACCATTTAAACTACTGCACACACGACGTTGCCAAACTTACATCAATGAAAGAAAGAAATGAAGAAAGAAGAAATAAATAAATCCCGGGAAGGTCCACATTAATATCAACATTTCGATGCAAGTACATAAATAACTCTACCTAATTCCGACCTCTGATCATAATATATCTTATTATAAAACGAGGATTAACTTTAGTAGCAGTAACAGCCTCGGTTTGATGTCATTGTGAATTTGCTTTTAGCTAATACAGAGTTATAAATATACAAGGTTAAGCGTTGGAGTAAATTTACGCTGAGACTGCACTTAGTATTAGCCAAAATTTATATTATCAAATAAAAGACTTGGCAAAGGTTAACCTAGAACGAGGTTCTACGTAATATTTACTCCTAGAAGGTAGTAAGGTTTGCTTATTCTCAGTATAATATGAATTTGGACTAATACTATAATTGCAATTTTTGCGGATATTTACTCTGACGCTAAACCTTGTTTCTTAATAGCACTGTTAATGTTCTAACTTTTAGTCCTCGTTTTATAATAAGGCGATTTAGGTTTTGACTTGTTATCTTGGAATCTGAGATATGTATGTGATGTTGTACAATATATTACCATGTTTTGGAATGTAATATGAATAAATAAACTCACCGGGTGCGTAATAATCGTATACACGCACGGGGAGGTACCGCGACATGTTCGCGACGGGGAACCACCGCTCGATCGTGAAGTTCACACACGTCTGCTCGTGATCCAACTGTACCAATGTGATTACAATCAATTATAAATCATACTCTTATTTCAGATATATTTAAAATAATACAATACTAGCTTTCCACCAGCGGCTTCGCCCGCATGGTCTTGTATTATACATGTAAAGAAAAAGTATTTCTTTAATATTTAAATGTAGGTAGTATGTATTTATTTCTTTTCATCACAAATTTTTTAATATGTAAGCTTTTTAAAAATTTACATTTAAGAATTAGCAATATTAGAAAACCAGAGTTTTTATAACTCTGGTTTTCTAATATTGCTAATTTGTTAAAAAGCTTACATTAGTTATAAAGAGCTTACATTAGAAAACCAGAGTTATAAAAACTCTTGTTTTCTAATATTGCTAATTTGTAAATGTAATTTTTTTAAAAAGCTTACATATTAAAAAATGTGTGATGAAAAGAAATAAATTATAAAAAAATATCTTGAAGAGGAATGGATAAAAAATTAAGTTTAAATGTCGTTTCTTTATTTTCAGGTAGGATTATTAAGTGTAATTTAAATTTAAGTAGTAATACAATTTGTTTTTGTTTCTAACAAATAGAACTTTATTTTCAGAGCAACACATTGAGTTTACATTGTCAATCCGTTTGATTGAGTCATTAATTAATTTATATATATATAAAAACCTTCTCTTTGAAACACCCTATCTATTAAAAAAACCGCATCAAATTCGATGCGTAGTTTTAAAGATCTAAGCATACATAGAGAGAGACAGACGGAAAGCTAATTTGAAATTGATGTGGTCGTTTGAATAATAGAGTTTATGAAGTTTAAATTTCTCATATACCTTATATATATTTGATAAGAAACTCTTAGATTCATTTTACTAAAAAAAAAAAAAATATAGTTCCGGTGTTTCAACTTTTATTTTCGCCATATTATGTTTACGTTCGTGCCGGATACTGCATGTCATGTTGTGTAATCGATACTAATATTATGAAAAAAGGACACACTTTATCGCGTTTCATAAATCGTGTATCCGTATAGTATTTAATGTGGTTAGATATATTTACATACATTATTGCGTTTTGAAACAGCATAAACTTTATAATACGACCATATAGGGCATGAATGAATCTTCAGCATACCTCTTGTTAGAACGAGACAAACAACCTTGCATAGCTTAACGTGTATCCTCATAGAACACGATGCACGTAAAAATAGCCGCGTTCAATGACGTTTTATTATTTTTATTAAAATTAAAAAAGTGCGAGTACAGTACTAACGCACGAAATTATATCTGTTTTACTTTTCCCATTATCAATGTGTAATTTGTGCATTGTGCAGAAAATTACGATTGAATATGACATTAACCCAACGCTTGCTGAAACGTGACTAATGTGAAACTCAGGCAATTGCCTTGCTTTTTTATTGTCAATGTTGTGCCCAGATAACGCATGTAAACTTTTGAATCCATGATTGGTTAGATATACATACGTAGTGGAAGTAGAATAGCAGGTTGGTGGGCGTGTACTTGGCGCGCAGCAGGTTGCGCACGCGGCGGGACAGCACGTACGCGTCGAGCCGCTGCTGCTGGATCATGTACCCGGTGGGGATGGCCACGTCCAGCACCGCCAGACCCGACCGCGGCGACTCCTCCGCCAGGGTCCAGCTGTCGCGGAACATTATACTCAGTGCACGACATTTTATCATGTTCGCGTCTTGTTTCTCTCTCTTAGCCGCATGACATGACAGTTTTTTTAGGTCAATATACCTACAGTTAAACCCCTCTCCTTAAAATGAACACGAAAATGTTAGTTAATTTTACTCGTATAAGTTAAAAAAGAATAAGCTAATTTTGTGATGGTTCGATTAGAAATCCTATAAATTATGCAATAAAAAAGGAAAATGATTTTTTTTTATATTGGGATTAGTACTTACTTACATCAACCCATATTTACTTTCAACGAGTCAAGTATTTATTTAACTTTTCACTACCATCAAAATTTTATCATAATGTGACCACATTTTTGAGATAATCGAAAATAAAATAAAATTGTTTACTACCATTAAATAATAATTATATTACACTTTAATTACTTGTGAACTTAGACAGTAGCTAAAGGAAAATATTAAGTCATTGTTAGTTTATGAAACCAATATCAATACGTCAATTTTATATGGAACGTTATTTTTGGGATGTGCATTTTTTACGGAAATAGGCAAATTAATAACTATTTATTATCACTTTTTAAAGCGGTCAAAAATGGCTTAAAACTCACTAGTTTTTACCACTGTAAATATATATAAATAAAACATTATTTTTGGTAATAGTTTACCTGTGACGCAATATGGTATAGAAAATAAGCAATCTCCTTTTTAACTTTATATTAAAGCCAAAAACTTTTGGATGTAAAATGTGCATAACTGAAAATTGTGTATTTCAGGGATAAACATTTTTAGACAGCGTTATCCGCCTGATATAGTTATGGGTTTTGATCACACCTGATAGTAACCTGTCGCGAAACATGCGATTTCCGAACTAAATATGATTTATTTAATGTTGGTAACACTATGGAAAATCATCATAAGTTTCACATAAATTATGGCGGGTAAAACATAAAAAATATATTACAATGAACAATAATGTCAGTGTTGTAATGATAGAAGATACAAGAGTTTTAGTAGTGTTACAATGACGAGGAGACACGTGACTGTTGAAGTAAAGAAACCCTCAGGCCAGTAAAGACTGCTAAGTGGGTGAGTCGCAAATGTATTGTATAATTGTTTAAACAAAAAATCATTGAGAGAAACATAAAAATAAGTGTGATGATAAGAGTAATCGTGGTCGATCTGGAGGTCGAGGTGGTCTATGGGGACCAGTAAGAGCTATACCGACAATATGTCCATCTAACAAATGTGAACAGCACGCTATAATGTCACCTGGCGCACGACTGGAACTCGATGTGCGACTGGTTCCGGCCGTAGTAGCGCAGCGGCTGCGAGTGCAGCGCGAAGGCGCGCAGCGGCGGCGCGGTGAGGAACCGCTCCACGTCCACGTTGTACTGCACCGCCATCTGCAGCACCGCGTACCCCGCGCCGCGCGCCGTCACCTTCACGGTGCCCCACGCGGACGGGATCTGTACACATATATACAGGGGTATTGGGTGCAATTGTGGGGGATTAAATGAGACATTTAAGGAAATAGACATAGTGACTATTGCTTCTCAACACATATACGAGAACTTAGTGTACGTTCTTAATACAAGAAATAAAAATAAATGAACGGCGGTTATCACTAGACTGCAAAAAGTTTGTAACTCTTTGTGGTAGGTGTGGTAGTTTGTACTCTTTGTAGGTCTTTGTGTGCGCTCCTACAATAAGGTCCCAAGCAAAATACAACAATTAGATATCATGCAGTTTAAATCTACTATTTAAAAAATACTTATTAGAAAAGCTTATTAAAAGTTATCCGATTATATAACAGAAAGACTATATGTAAAGAGATTGAATTAAAATAAGGAAAGGAAATGGCTCTTAACTCTATCCCCAAAAGTACTTAGTGAGCGAGATTTCTTGATATCCCCCGTAAGTGAGTTACCCGCACAGAAAAGAAATACGAAAAAAAACCGGTAAAATGGCGAAAGTCTAGACAGCACAAAATGCAAGAGATACATTATTTATTGATTATTAAAATACTTATGAATTATCCTTAAAATATTGTTATAATAAGTCAACACTTTTAATTTGTTCATTTACTGTAAGAATTTTTAAATAATCTAATATTAAAGTTTATGGAGAAAGAAAGCATGAAAAAAATTACATCTACTTTGTAATAACGGAAAAGGACGATTTTTTCAAAATATCGCCAAAAGTAATAATAAATGTGAGACATTAGATATATTTATGTTTAGTGAAATCAGGTTTACTTATTATGGAAATCATAATAGCATTTGCTATTGTCAACCATTACAAATAACATCAAATTTGAATACTAACAATCGAAAACAACAAAAACATAACAAAAATTGTATGTGATCTCAAGATAAACTAACTGAATAATTCTATTCGGTAACCAGTGTTTATTTGCACTGATTGTTGAACACAATTAGTTACCAAAATGGCGGCCAGACGCATAAGCAATAAACGGAATGGAATGGAACGGAATATAACAAATTACGGGTTCGCTATGAACCTATCATTTGTTCATTAAAAGATGATTCCTGGATCAGATGGCAAAGTGGCATTCTTAGAGTTTGCAATGAATACTCTGAAGCTACTGGACCAATTTTAAAAATTCACTTACGGGACGGTGAACATAGGCTATAATTTATCTTGCTGCTTGCAATAAACTACAAATGGAGAGATAAAAATGATTTGATCAATCATAAGATTATTTACGCTGTTAAAACAGGAGTAAACAATATTACTGATATTTGTGCCGCCAGACAGTTCCCTAGGGAACACGCGTCCGAAAACTCGTATTATTATAAAATAGCAAACTTCAAAGTTGACACGTATTAATTATACTGTAAAAATGTTGATTGAATATGATCATAGTTGCTCACGTGTACGGTCTGCATGGTGGCGAGGTTGTCGTTGCTGACGTGCAGCAGCCGCGTGGTCCCGTTGAGCGCGACCGCGTCCACGGTGAGCGTGAGCGCGCTCACGTCGCGCAGCCGCTTGCGGTTCGTGTACTCGATCAACGCGCGCAGCGCTATGTACGTGTCCTGGATCACGAAACGTCTACGGGTCAAACACTAGCCACATTTTGTGACGTATACGATGGGGGGGGGGGGAGGGGGGAGGTGTTAGCTACTGTAAGATTCGTTTGTTTCTTGTAATTTTTGACTTATTAACTTAGGTGATAAGGAAGAAAAGCGTTCTTTTTTCCTTCTTTTTTTTTTTACTTCAATTTAACAAGAAATAGCTTAGATAACAGGCATTAAAGTTGAGGAGTGGGGGCTCGCTACGTCACAGTTGAGTAGAAAACGTACCCTAACGTGACGTCATGTGAAATTTCAACTCAATGTGACGCCGTAATTTTATGATTACGAAAAAAATAAAAAAATACGTGTTTAATATTTTTTAACACTACCTGACGGACAAACAAACAAAAATTAGTCATCATCCCTATTCAACCTCTGATCACCCTCCTGTATCAGAAGGTGAACGACCAATTTTTATCAATATACAAAGCTAATAAGAATGGCGATACTGAACACTTTGCACGCTCATAATTTTTTTTTTATAATTTTTTTTTATAAAATTTAATAATTTGGAATTAATATAAATTTAATATTTATATTAATTCCAATTTATTAAATTTTTTCAGTTTTATTCGCTACGGCGTATTGATGTTAAACTCGACATTGTTTAGTATGAACCGAATGTACTGAAATAGGAGGTATATATACGTCACCTGTGTGGAGGCCCACCCGCCGTCCTTGAGCCGCTGCGCGTTGAGCCACATGACGATGGGCTCGTTGTTGTCCTGGTGGTCCATGCAGGCGAGCAGCGCGTACGCGGTGGTGGCCACGTTGTTGGAGTCGTACTTGTAGGGCAGCCGCGGCAGCAGGAACGGCTTCTGGTTCTCCATCTTGTACGGCGGCTGCGGCACCGGCTCGCGGCCCCAGTACACCAGACCACCTGAGTTGACAGACCGACGGGTTATATTACTGTGAATACTACAACATCTATCCATATTAAAATAATATTATAAAGGCGAAAGTTTGTAAGTATGGATGTATGGATGTTTGTTACTCTTTCACGAAAAAACTACTGGACGGATTTGGATAAAACTTTACAGCAATATAGGTTATACATCAGAATAACACATAGGGTACTTTTTACTGGGAAAACTTCTCACTCCCACGGGATACCGACTTCCACGCGGACGAAGTCGCGGGCGTCCACTAGTATTAAAATAAAATCATCAAATGCAACCAGTACGAGAGACTAAAGGGAAATCGTCTCCAAACGGTGTAGGTGTCAGTAGGCCGGGGATACCGACATATATCTTAAGTCGTGGCGAATCTTAGGAAGCGCGATTCAGGCATCACGGCACTATCTAGTGCCAATACGGGGTATGTAACTGGAAGATAACGTCTAGCCGTCGAATATTGTGATGTCAACATTGACGTGATTAGTTAGATACTTTTATTCGGTTACAACACTTTCCGTCGCTGCGTCCGTTTTCAGCTTATAAAACCTTTTAGTTCTTATTTAATGACGGATTCAAAAAGAAAATCTCAGTAAGATATTATCAAAATTATTCACTAGTTTCATTTATATAAACTTTAAAGAAATATAATAAAGAATATTATTAATGAAAAAATCTTATATTTTTTATAAAGTGTAGACAAACTTTTTTTACATTATTATTTTATAGATATTCAAGGAATAAATAAAAAAAATATAATTCATATACGAAGTAAAAATTTTAAAATAAAATAAAATCATTTTTGAAAATTCCCGCGAAAACGCCACTACTGTCATGGCGTCGCTATGACGCTACGAAATGTTCTGATATTAGTTAAAAGTGCATGAAAATATGTGTTTATTTTCCATTATTATCAGTTTAAGTTATATTATAAACTAGCTGACCCGACAGACTTCGTCCTGTCAAAAAGATTTGTAATGTGGCAGTTTTTTTGCCTACGTATTTAAAAAAATTCTCCTGAACAGAACCGTCACCCTGGTGATAGGGCGTTGTGAATAAAAAATAATTAAATAAAACATATATAAGGATTTAAAAGTAAGTAATCGCTTTATTGTTAATCATGTGAATCATAATTATTATTATTATCATTGTAGTGCTTTGTGGTATACGATGTTTTTTGTTTGATTACCTGGCGCATAGATAAACAAATCTGATGGTTTTCCAACACGGGAACAGGCAACATACATGCTCCAACGCACACACGCACATTGTTTTGATAGATATGATCTTTGACGTTAGGAACACACCTACATTGCTTAGACAACAGTGAGTGCTTGTAATTTAATATGAACTTTATACCATAGCAATAAAGCTCAAATTGACTACGTTTTAGTTACAAATCATTTGTATGGGAAAAAGAAAAGGGCTATTTTTAGGGTTTTTCCAGCAATAATTCTAATTTTTCTCGCCGTAAAAACCATCCTTGAACTTCAACGAACATTTTAAAAAAAGATTTGGCCAAATTGGTCGAGGCGTTGTTGAGTTATGCGCTTACCAACACATTTTGCGATTCATTTTTATATATATAGATGTGATAAGCACAAAAGTTGCGATTACCGGTAATAGTATATTAAATAGATAATCACTTGTAATTAGGGTAAAAACTGAAAATCAGTGCTTCGCTCTTTGAGTAAATACTCACTGAGTTTTCGCCCATTTGCATCGCTCCGGTACACAAACTGTTTGATTGTCCTGTTTTAGTTTCTAATATTTTGTAAAATTAAAATTGTAAAATTTTGTGTATGCATGATGCCAATGAAGAATTTATCTATCTATCTATAAAATATAAGTTGCTTACCCTCCGCCCGCTGCCGCCGCTTGAGCAGCCGGTAGGCGTGCTCGGAGCTGGGCGCCTTGGAGAGCGTGAGCGCGTGCGCGACGAGCGCGAGCGCGTAGGGCTCCCCGAAGTCGTCCAGCAGCCGCAGGTGCTTCTCCAGCCACGAGATGCCCAGCTGCTGCGCCTGCACCACGCGCGCGCTCAGCCCCTGCGCCATTACAATTTAATCAATATACAATATCAATCGTTACACAAACTAAGTCAAGCATTCTTTGGCATTCTATTCAAATAATAATAATAATAATGTCAATAAATAAATAATGTCTAAAATAAAAAGATGTCAGTACTTAAATATATTATTGTTTTTTAAGTAATCCCTTAATTGAACAAAAAATATTTTCATTCAGCCATTTAAAAACTCTCTTTTTGAATGGAAAACAATTTAATTCCTTAATTTCAGTCAATATGTTATTGTATATTCTGTCGGACATTGCTAGACAACTTTTATTATATTTCGATGTTTTGGGTAACTTATAACTAATTTATGCTTATTCCTTCGCACTCTAGAGCTATGGACAGCTGACGCATTTATAAGTTTTTTTATTTTTATTTTGATATACAAAATTACACACTTGGTACTAAAACACAAAATTACAAGCCTAGACTTTTAAATTTATTTCTACACGATTCGTCAGGTAAAATTCCAAATATGACCCTTATGCATTTTTGCTGTACCACAAACACCTTGTTCCAATCTATACTATTACCCAATAGCATTTAACCGTAGTAGCACACGACAGAAATGTCATCAATAGGAAGTTGACAAACTTTTTTATTTTATTAAAATGGTTCAGATTTTCCAAAGATATAACAGAAACCTATATTTTCACTCGTCGAACACAACCCTATTATACGAATCTCTACATTAAACAAAATAGGTATTCTTCTACCTATCTATCTATATATTCACGTATTTAATATATCAACATAAAATTCTCATATTTAATAAAAACGTTCATAATTTCAATAGTTATACAAATATAGTCCACTCACAATAATATGCGTCATGTTTCTTCCAGAAATGAGGAGTTCGCGCATTATATATATTTTTTTTACATTGATCGTTCTTGATTGCAAATTAAGAAACGGGTGTAGAATTACCAAAACTCGTAACAATCCATTATTACTTACCTCTCGCACACCGATATCCTTGAGGTTCTTGACGGTTTCCAATGTTATAACCACTTGAGCCGTCAGCGTGATGTTACGTTGTGATATCACAGAGTTATTGACCTGATACAAACAAATCATTCTCAATAACATATTGTATGAATATTAATATTTCATAACGAGGATAACGGGATAATGTATTTCACTTAGACAGATTTAACTTATACACTAATACCAGTGTATCGTAAAATTTGTACAATAAGATGAACCTGTGCAGAAGGCCAAAAAACAAATATTATGTCGACCAATCAGTATTTTTTTTATTAAATCAATCAATCATTTATTGCATAAAAATATGGTGTAACAGATGTCATAAAATAAGCGTATCACATATTTACTGTTTGACAGTGTGCAATAGTTTTAGTAGTTATATAAATTTACATTTTAATCTATTCATGCATTAACTATGATATTATTTTATTCGCACATCATTAACTTAAAAACATTTGCTGCATTCAGTTCCTATTACATATTATTTCAGTCTTATAGTTTAAAAATAATTAATAGTAATAATGTCAAAATTCGAATCAATTTATATGTTACAAAAATAATAAGTCAAGTAAATATTAGACAACGTCACATACATTGCTCAGATTTCGAGATGAGTAGCTAAAGGCAAGACAACGAAGGTACCACAACACCCAGACCAGAGACAATATAGAAAAGTTCATTTTCTATATCGACCCGACAGGTAATCGAACCCAGTATCTTAGAGGTGGCACCACCTTGAAACCGGCGTGCAAACGACTCTGCAAAGGAGGTCATCGAGTATGATTTAAGTATCCCAAAAAACATGTGTCTGGTGCTGAATGTCAGACACTTAATGCATTGTGTTTTAAACCTTATGATCATTGAAAAAAGACTCACTATAAATTGTAATCGTACGTTTGGTCATCATCGGCATTGGTGGATCAGCTTGAACTACGCGCCACGTTAGTTAGAACTTACTTACTACTAGTTAAGAATTAATCAGATTTTGTATAAATACTATCAAATTATTAATTATCAACATTAGACAAATCATTTCTCAAATTATTTCTTTTTTTTTTGTAGTCTGCACTATACGCATTTTACCTCCATATTTCTTGATGAGGCAACAATACCATATATCTCTTTCTTCATAATGTTATCTTGCACACATTTCATTCATGATGAATTCTTCGTCTTTTTGAATTATAAATATAAGTTCTTTTATTAAACTTGAAAAATTCAATAGAGTAGTTGTGAAGGTTTTTAAAACTTGGAGAGTTATACGGGATAATGGAGGGACACAGTGAGGGCTGAGGGTATACTATATAAACATGGTTGTCTCACTCGCACAGCGGGGTTGTCTCTGTCCGATAGCAGCTGCGCGGCGACGGGATGGTCAAGTGGTACAGTGAGGGTGGAGTTATCGTTCCGGTCCGGTAGCCAGGTCACTTCGTAGAAGGCACCGTGAGGAAGCTGATGGTCCAACACCCAGGACACCGCCATAGAGATCACCTAGGAATAACACAGACATAAATTACGCTCGATTTGCATAGCGGGCACACACGATATACATTAACAAAAATTAAAATATGGGCGTTTGAAGCGATGGTTTGCTCAACGTGTCTGGCTCGTGAACACATGCTACAAATGAAGATGAGTCTACTTCAGATTAATTAGTCTTATTCATTTTAATTTCATTAACATTGTAATGTGCAATTTGTTTTTAAGAAAAAGTAAAATAGTGGTTTTACCCAAATAAACACACCAAAATAAAAAATATATTAGCTCAAAGATTTGAAATTGACGCTCTTACATCTGGATCGATGTATATGAAATTCTCCCATTCGTTGAAAGAGGCGTCCTGGAATATCTTCGCACAGAACGATGTTAGCCACACACTCGACGCAGACTGATTCCTGTAGGAGTAAATTAAGCTTATTATGAAGATACATATACACTTTAAGAGAAATCGAAACCGGAAGACTTCAACAATCTCTTTTATAATTATTTTTTCTACATTCATTTGCATCCTTATATCAGATCAAAATTATAATATTTATTTTTAAAACTGGTGTCATCAAATAATTAAACACTACATGTTACAGTAGAACCATGTTTATAAGTTACACTAATGGACCTGTGGAGAATTTTTATTTTTAAAAAGAAACCAAACAATTTTGTTCTCTCGTACTGTACCACGTTTGCACTAGAGTAGTGCTCGTTTGCTATTGGTCGATGCGTGCACGTGGAATTATGATATATCTCAAGTCTTATAACTACTACGAGTGTAAACCTTAACGTAACGTATTAAAATCTATATTGTATGTGTGATTGAATGTGTGTGTTGACTGAAGCGATTTTAGTTTGCTCTCTTCTGTTCTGTACAGTTGAAGTTTTCCAATACTATTTATAATAGTGGTAGTCCATGAAATAATACAATAATATACGTGCATACAATTCAAATTCCGATAGCTGTTTACTCACCAGTCGCTTCGAAACAGGCTAAATGATCCGTCATGCTTCATGAATGACAGCTGCCGCTGGTACAGCACGTTCATGTGATAGAACGAGTCACGCTCCAGCGTGCGGTTGCGTTGATTTATCAAACGCATGTAGAATGTCATGTACATGTTCACAGCGAAGCTGAACATGTTCTGTTCCGCCGAGTCCTGATTGTCAGAAAGTCATTCCAAATTTAAGAATACATCTAAGGAATTAATTTTCAGGTGCGATTATATAGTCATCATCTTTTACTTTCCAACTACAGGGGCTTCCTTATGGATATTTAGGAGGATGGGCCATGACCCTTCACGCCGGCCCAATGCGGATTGGAGAGTATTGCAGACTGCAAATGCAGCCATACTAACGACTTAACGTGTCTTTCGAAGCACGGAGCAGGTTGAGATAATAATTTTTTGGCCACCCATTCCTTGACCGACCCTTACGAAAGTTGCTTAACAACAATGATCACGGGTCTCGAAGCTTATCCAATACGCCACCGAGCTACATTATGTAGTGTTAAATGGTTGTTATATTATAGGAGCTCAATAGTATTTAAAGTTAAGCCACTTTTGCAAAGACGTTGTTATCTCGTGTTCTCGTCTTTCAACTATAACAATAGACATTAAAACGCAAAATTGAGCCAATTTGTTCCTTTGTTCCAAATATTGAGTTATGTTAAAACTCGTGAATCAAACTTTGTTTTTGACGTTAGCTATCTTTGCTATGTAAAGTTGCTAGCGTATTGCAAATAATCATGGATAAACATTTAAGAAAAAACAGGCCAAGTGCAGGAACTCGCGCACGATGGGTTTCGTAGCAATAATTATAAATAATACAAAAAAATCACGTTGGTTGGGTAAATATTTATGTTATCCCGCTTTTAATATTTATTGTTACAGCGGCAAGAGAAACACATCATTTGTGAAAATTTCCAGTATCTAGCCATCCCGGTTACATATATAGCCTGGTGACAGCGAAATCTTAGTAATAGCGTCCCGTTTTTACCCTCTGCGATAACACATTATATTTACTCACCATCGGCAGATCCAACAGGCTGGTGGCGTTGACAGGCATAGTCGGGAACAGGGGTCCGACCACGTCACCTACAATGGAGACGCGCGCGTGGTTCGACCCGAACACGTAGTAGCGGTCCACCTCGTACGGTATGACCGGCGTCTCGGTCACGTTCACGTGCATGTATTGGAACACGTACGCGCGGTTCGACAGATCCAGCAACACGGACTGGTGACGGTACTGCGGCAACCCGTCCGCCTGATGCCATCGTAAATATTATATAAGACGACATAACCGTACATTATTAGTTTTGAAAATATGTGTTAAATGAAAATAAGCTCCCTAGTAGCGAAATAACTGCCTGAGAAACTAATCAATCCTGTTGAGATTGCGAAAGGTAGTGGGTTGCCTGGGACTGGTGAATTAATTAATAATTTTTAGTTAAAAATCAAATACGTTGCTCGGAGTTAAAAACCTCGTATTGTGCAGCACCTAAAACCGTGAAAGTAATGCAACACCCAGACCCGAGACGACGGGCACGTGTACCAGGGTTTAAATTAATTCTTTTTTAGATAATTATCATGGTAAATATTTATAGTTACTTTCAACATATTTTTTTAATACAGAATGGCATTCATAATTGAATGAACTTTTATTTTTGTCATATAAAATTATAAATAAAATATTTTTTTAATAAAAAGGAGGGCTTTTAATTTTTTGTTTGTTTTGTAGATCTATTTTTAGCCAATTTTCTGTATCAGAAAACCCATATTTGATCATTGTTAATTATTTAAAGATGATTACCTTTAAATAACAAGTCAATTACAAGCGTGACGTTACCTCTACTTTCATGGTGTGAACGCAGCGGTGTTGCCCCATGAGCGTGGCAGCGTGCAGGTGCACGTGCAGCGTGCCCAGTCTAGTGCTGACGACGGGCACGTGCACTATACTAGCCTGGCCCGCCGGTATCCACACGAAGAACTGGTGCTCACCGAACGATGTGCGAGGATTGTATGAACGAACCTAACATTTTATATTAAAATCAATATGTTTTATTTTTTATATAAACTATCTCATCGATTCCTACATGTTTGGTGGAAGACTACCGAGAGGAACCGGCCAGAAACTAAGCAATGTTTTATTACTATTCTGTTAGACACAGTAATTTTAAATTAAACATACTATTATGAAAAACATTACACCATACATTTGACACTTTTGTTTAACGAATGTCAAACAACCATAAAGAAGTATATTAATAGTCTTTCTTAATAGAACCTTGACAATGTTCATACTTAATGGTAAAAATAAATCGACTTAGGCGGTTCACTACCGTGTCTCTAGATGTATGAAGAAGAAAAATTGACTAACGAATCCGTTCTCCTCGACGTGTATGAACTTGTAGTCGTTGGAGGCGGCGAGCACGACGACCGCCTCGATGTCCTGCGGCTGGTAGTTGAACACGACCGCGCGCAGCCCCACCTGCTCCCCCTGCCGGCACCGGGCCGGGCCCTCCACCTTCATGAAGAACGGCAGCACGCCCGAATACTGCCACACGTACAAACAAATTCTATATCGTTCAATACTATGAAAAACGAAAATAATCATGTTTAATGAATTACTCTTATATACCCTTGGATATCAATTTGATTCTGTTTTTTAGTATAGCAGTGACAAAATAAATTATCTGTAAAAATTTTAATTATCGATCCCAAAAAATAACATTATCTTATTTTAAATAAAAGATATAAATAAGGTGAGAACAGAGCCACCTTGGTTAATCGAGACCTGGACAAGTGAGAAACCTCCATAACTAAAACTCACGCTGTATATGTAATCTAAGCTATAATGACATGCAACATGGGAAGTTTAGCAACAAAATTCATTGAAAGTGATTTTAAATTGCAAATTTTAATTCTTTTTACAGAAACAAGTGGTAAATAATACAAATATTTAAACATTTTATTTGACTTCCATTCGCACTCTTTTATTTAATAATTCAGTCATCAAATTTATTGTAAAATAAGTAGTTACTAATTTATATATTTCAAATGGAAACTGATAAAGACACTTTTTAAAATAATAAGTCAAACTAAATTCTAATTATGTGTTGTCACATAAACTATTTGTAAATTGAATTAAAAATATATAAATGATCACTCACACGTATCGGCGTATTCAGCATGCCCAGCCCGAGGGAGGGCGACATACTGAACGCGGACACGGTCCAGTGAGCTGGCACCTGTACAAAATATTCATTTTTACAGAAATAATATCTAAAAGAAAGCTTAAATAAAGACGGCATGATACGCCGGCGGCCTCTTAGTTTTTTCATTCTTATCCAAATCATGCCCTTTTAAAAACACATAAGATTATTGTTTTACAACAGAATTTTACAGATGTTTCGATCGATTTTGATCGATCATGATCAAAACGAAAACTTGTAGTTTTCGCACAAGAAGTTAACACTAAATCCTGGCTTTTAAGACCTAAAATACATATGTATGCATGTAAATGTCACCTGCGGCACGTCTACGGTGAACACGTATCGTCCGTGCGGTCCGATGTTGATGTCTTTCCACAGCCATACGTTCTCGTACTGACGCTGCACGCGGTTGAAACGGAACTTGCGGAAGTGGCTCAACTCCATCCAATCGTCGTGCTCACCTAAACACGAGAGGTTTCTTTCCGAATTTACTTTAGTCTTATCAATTTAAAAAGAAAACAAATTTAATAGATTTTGAAGACAATTTTGTATAGAAAAATTGTATAGATTTTTCTATAATTTTAAAGTGAGAATTTTTTCTCTAAGCGCTTTTTATTATTTTCCTATTTCGAAACATTAACAAATTCCAACCTCCAACTGCTAAAGCCATTAGTCACAGTAAATTATATACAGATCTGTTTCCTACATACAATATAGATATTTCTCCTTTTTTAAACTATTTTTTTTTCATCACGTCTATATCGGAGATAAAGATAAAAAGTATCTCAAAAACGGTACAGTGAAGTCTTTATCACGAAAGAAGTCCCGCGGCACCTGTGTGGTATTTACCATTGAATTCGATATTTTATTTAGTTTCACTCGTTTAACTTTTACTATTTTTGTTGAAAATGTTAGTGTTGTTTTTACTTCGCAAAGATAAGATAACTTCAATACATATTAAAAAATGTTTTACAATACGTATTAATATAGTTGCATTGTGTATAACAATGAATGTAACCTTAGAAGTTCGTTTCCACCACCAGCTTATAATTTCTACAGCTAGTGATAGATAACGAAACTGAATCTGATCATGATGGTGATATTAATATAGTATGGCATATGTTATGGTATAGTATGGTGATAATATATATAAACAGATATATATATATATAGACTAGCGTTCGTAATTCTTTTCGCCAGATTACGTCACATATAAGTCCGATGTCACTATTTTCATTCGTATTTTAAGCTATCGTAATTTTTGGGGATTCGAAAATTAGAAGTCAGCGTGTACATATGTATGAGAGTGAGTACTGACAGTTAGCCTCGTCAGTCCGGTCCGAGCAGTCAGGTTTTCCGTCGCAGCGCGAGGTGTAATGGAAGCAGCCGCTCTCCAGGCACTCCAGGTACCCGGCGGTCTCGTTACAGATGGACGGACGACGAGGCACCAGCACATCGCTGAACACTAGCAGCCCAGCGTATCTACGCACATCACACACATTTCTCTATTATAACCAGTAATGAGGGAAAATAAACAAAAAGTACTAAAACAAACGTCACTATGCAGCGGTATAAGTTTTACGTATTGTGTTACAGAACGTTTTACGTCACATAACATCATAATAAAAAACTGAAATTTTGCAGTTTAGAAAACTTGAATATTAAAATAAATGTAAAGTCTTAATTTTCGAAATCAAATTTACTTTTAATACATCGGAAAGAAAATAAGAACACACGAGATCTGATAACTTTTTTGACACTAGAATACATATAATTCTTGGTCACATTTTACATGAAAATGTTTTTTGTAAGAGGCTTATGACATTTTTTACCTTTCTGTAGTGTAGTTCTTGAACATCATAAGTGCATTTTTTTATTGCCCACTTTAATATTTTTTTAGCTTTTAATATTGATATTAACCGGTGCCTTTACCATATGACAGGGGTCGGCAACCTGCGGCTCTTTCGATGTAAAGTTGAGACTTGGCAACCTTACATTGAAAGAAAAGGTCCCAGATTTATTATTATTAATCAGGGGAATTCACGTGGTCTAATATTTATACTTACTCGAAGGTCCGATTGGCATCGATGCCGAAGGTAGAGGAGGGGAAGTATACGAGATCGTCGGCGTCGCCGAAGTGTGACCGCCACGTGTACGCGAATGTACCATTAGTGGACTCGTCGAAACGTGACATCTTGGATATCACCTGATCAATGAACGTTACACGATTACTTTTTGTCTGAACGTTAGGGGGTTTACGTATCCCATTACTGTATCCAATAAATGTATTAATTTTTTTTTATGTAATTAAAAATGGACAGTATTTGGATGACAATATTTTGGTTTTATATTAGCTGAGATATTTCAGATTATCTCTACTATCAGATGTTAGCGTAAATCATACACATTTGGAACCTACTTCACCTAAATTTCACACATACTTAGTCTGAACGGATTGCTAGTTATCAACTTTAAATTAAAGGAATTATTGTAAAATTTCGTCTAACTCATAAAGATAAGGCGTTGCAGAATGCAATCTGATCAACGTTTATATGAAACCATTTAAATATTACGTGCGCGTTTTTTTGATGCGGGTAAGAAATTTACCTTGGCGTATGTGAGTTCGTTCCCAGCCTGCATGGTGTAGAAGGCGTCGTCTATAGCGGACAGCCCCACGTAAGCACCGGGCTCCCCGTACACGGCCACCTCCACGCGCTCGCCCGTTCTGTGCTTGCGATTGTTCACGTACACGGTGAACTGGCAACGTACACGTATATATAAATAATAATACATAACTACAAACAATGTTAATCAACGTGTAAACTATTATATTTCATAAATCGCATTACAGTTGCGTTCTTGAGCGAAACGTACGTAAAATTTGCAAGTTTTTGGATGAAATATGCATACATGTACTATTATGTCATTTTAGTTTACCGCCAGCGACTTCGCCCGCATGGTCCCCAGGGAACTATTTAGTGGTATGCTATTATATAAGTAACCAAAACCCTATCTGTATACCAAATTTCATCAAAATCCGTTCAGTATTTTCGGCGTGATTGACGAACAAACATCCAAACAAAGAAACATTTTTCATTTATAATATTAATAGGATGCAGAGGGACTGTAAACGCATATAAACTGCAAACAGCTTCAGTTTTGCATATATTTATAGAATACTATATGTTTAAGGGTTGCTATTGTTAATAGTATTACAAGCTATAATATGTAAACTAAAATTTTTAAATTTTTGCTTTGATAGCAGACGCAGATAAGTAGACATTGAATGACTATTGATGAAATATATAATTGCTATTATTGGTTTGAGTCAAATTTTAATAAATATAAAAAAAAAACAGTTTAAAATATATTTAAATTGACCTGTAACTAACAATATCACAACTATAAATTTATCCAATGATAATTTTATTATTAACACCCTCTATTTGGATGAGTAATTAATTGAAAAATTCGTGAGCAGAATCTGTTAAAAATTATATATATTGAGTGTAGTGTAGTATAGTGTAATGTAGTGTACTCGTATATAGTTACATTGTTCCTGGAGATGCCGTTGACCGGGAAGGTGAGCGAGTCGGCAATGACCTGCGTGCGGCGGTGGTTGGTCCACACGAGCACGGTGGCGACGGGCGCCATCTCCGCGGACACGGTCACCGCGAACGTGCGCACGCCCTCCTGTGCACGCAACACGTACCACCATGGTTAGCTCGATGTGCGTTTACCATCAACATTTCCTACTACTACTAACTTAGTTTTATTTATTATATTTGATCAATTTTGCATTCAAAATGCTATACTGCTAAAGATATAATAAATAAAAAATGCTAAAGAAATCCAGCCCCAGGTACTTTAATTTTCTTACACATTTCAAAATTATTTCAGCAAAACATTTTACCTTGTATAAATTAAACAACTTTTAAACAGTTTTATCGCGTTGGTATTTAATTTTTACGGTAGCCAGGGGTAATAAATAAGTCAAATGTATTTTTTAAATAACTTATCTTAATAAATATAAATGTTACATTTTCTTTGTGTTATGTTCAATAGTTTTGAATAGTATTCAATAGCATTGAAAGTATATATGCTCTTAATTAAAAAGACAATCAACACCTTAGTCTTATGCGTCTTAAACGTCAAATAAAACTAAATACAAACGCGATGAAACCGTTTAAAAGTTGTTTCATATATGGATATTGCACGTCAAAATATAAGAAATCAATACTGTTCGGTTCTTTATGCAACGAACAGCAATAATTACATTTATGCAAGTAAGCACTTTATACCTTACACTAGCTTTCGCTTGGTTGCCCCGGGCTGCGAGCAGCCCGGGGAGGTAACGAGTAGCTAGTGGAATCGGGGCGGTGGGGTTTCAGGTCCGCCTCTTGTTTATCGGGTTTACAGTTTGAAATTGCCTCAGGTCAAAAAGGTCAGTAAGTTCTATCTTCAAACAAAAGGTGTTAAAGGACACAAAGCACCATACATCAAAGAAAAAGTGTTGCCAGTTGACACTTAATAGAAAAGAAATATTCAGTGGATAAACGCAAGCAAAACTTAAAATAAATTTTGTATAGATACTTAAAATAAGTTTTGTCTTTTATTCTCTTATTCTTATTTATTAGTAAATTACTGTATAATATTAAAAAACAATCGAACATATATTTCCATTGGTGTTACTATCACGAGAGGTAACGAGTAGCTAGTGGAATCGGGGCGGAGGGATTTCAAGTCCGCCTACGTTGTGGAATTTATGTTTTTGGATTTTTGTATGTTAAGTTTGGTTTATAGTTTAAAAGCACCTATAAAACATAGTAAGTTCTGTCTTAAAATGAAAGCTGTTTAAGTTCACAAAGCAACATACATAAAAAAGGGCTGCCAGTTTACACTTAATAGAAAATGAAATAGTCAGTCTAAAAACGCTAGATCGACTTGTTGCCTATTTACTCTCTTATTCTTATTCAATAGTAAATTAATATTTTGTATAAAAAAAACAATCAAACACATATTTTCGCCAGTGTTACTATTATTAATCAGTATTAATTGTATTTGCATATATATTTAAAAAAAAAACAAATGGTTCATATACACGCTATAAAGCTCCCGAATTGTCAAGTCTATCAAAATCAAATTTGAAATTAAAATGGTAACTGCGCGGGCTGGATTGATCATAGTCAACCTTACACGTTCATCTTGAAACATTATAAACCAAATGTTACCATCAACAAATGCGATTCGGTTCTGGCACTTCGCCGGCCGCTGCCGCGGCACGCTCGCTACGCTCGCTCGGCTCGTGCGTTGTTTTTCATACACTAACCTAACCTAACCCAAATGTCATAATAAACCTATACAAGTTTTTGTTGCTTTACTTATTGTAAAGTTCTTGAGCATAAACGAGTCGCTTGTGGAAATTGCCTAGAAAAAGTTAGTGAGTTCTCTCTTCAAATGAATTGTGTTTGAGAACACAAAGCACCATATGTCAAAGAAAAAGGGTTGCCGGTTTGCACTAAATAGAAAAAGAAATAATCAGTTGAAAAACGCAAGCAAAACTAAAATAAAATTTGGAATAAATCGGCTTGCAGTCATTTATTCTCTTATTCTTATTCAAAAGTAAGTTAACATTTAGTTAATACAGATATTGGAGTTTTAAGTCCGCCTCTTGTTATGTTGGGTTTACAGTATAAAATTGCCTAGAAAAAGGTAGTAAGTTCTATCTTCTTTATGTGCGCAAAACATCATATATAAAAAAAGGGTTGCCAGTTTACACGCAATATAAAAAGAAATATTCAGTTGAAAAACGCAAGAAAAATTTAAAATAAATATTGTATAGATCACCTTGTAGTCTTTTATTCTTATTCAAAAGAAAATTTCCTAAAAATCACAGTATCGAAAAAAAAACAGTTTTTTATCATGCGGCAACACTTCAACTGAATACATTTTTTTTCTGTAAGTAATCTGAAAAATGTTATCAATAACGCCAAAATCAACTCTATAAAGTAAAATTCTTGAAAAATGATAAATTTTCTAGATAAAATTTTGAAATTTCAGCCTCAGACCTAAATAGCACATTTCGTCACAGTTCCTTAACCGATTGACCAGGTCTTCATTTATTATGGCTCGCTTCGCTCGCTTTGTTTTATTGACAATTCTAATCTACCCGATTTACCAGGACTCTATTGATGGTGTCCTTTATGGCTCGCTTTGCTCGCATTTTATTTTAGTCACAGTTCTAACCTTACCAATTAACCAAATCTCTCTTAACAGTTATTCCTTATGGCTCGCTTCGCTCGCTTTTTGTTTTAGACACAGTGCTAACATAATCGATTGATCAGGTCTCTTTTAATAGTCTAGCATTATGGCTCGCTTCGCTCGCTCTTTATTTGGTCACAATACCTTAAGCAATTGACCAGGTCTCTATTTATTATGGCTCGCTTCGCTCGCTTTTTGTTTTATTGGCAGCTCTAATCTAACTGATTGACCAGACCTCTATTGACGGTGTTCTTTATGGTTAGATTCGCTCGCATTTTATTTTAGTCACAGTTTTAACCTTACCAATTAACCAAATCTCTCTTAATGGTTACTCTTTATGGCTCGCTTCGCTCGCTTTTTGTTTTAGTCACAGTGCTAACATGACCGATTGATCAGGTCTCTTTTAATGGTCTCGCATTTTGGCTCGCTTCGCCTGCTCTTCATTTTGGTCACAGTCCCTTAAACGATTGACCAGGTCTCCGTTTATTATAGCTCGCTTCGCTCGCTTTTTGTTTTACTCACAGTTCTAGTCTAACTGATTGATCAGATTTCTATTGGTGGTGTTCTTTATGGCTCGCTTCGCTCGCATTTTATTTTAGTCACAGTTTTAAACTTACCAATTAATCAAATATCTCTAAATGGTCACTCTTTATGGCTCTTTTTCTCGCTTTTTGTTTTAGTCACAGTTCTAATCTAACCGAATAACAATGTCTCGCTCGCTTTATTTTTCTGGCGAAAATATTGGAATTTATTTTCTCACCACGTATAGATTGGGTAAACGTATAGATTAGATACACGAACGGTTTATACTTTAAAGCTCCCTAGTCGCCAGCTCGGTCAGAATCATTCTGAAATTTATATGGTGACTACTGTCAGTGCTGCTAGTCGATCACTCAAATTATTCCATCAATTATTTTACAAATGCAACAGCAAAATTTTTGCATGAGAACTTTCTTTAATGAAAATTTCCTAAAAATCAAAAAAATTTCAGTTTTTTTTTTCATCTGGCAACACTTCAACTGAATACATTTTTTTCTGTAAGTAATCTGAAAAATGTTATCAATAACGCCAAAATCAGCTATATAAAGTAAAAACCGAGAAAAATGATAAAATTTCTCGATAAAAAGGTCGCTGTTTAAGCCGCCATTTTGAATTTTGAAATTTCAACCTCAGATCTATGTAGCCCATCTATTGGCACATCCAACGCAGTTTTTATTATTTTCCTAGCGGCGATAGTGACTGCGTTAGAGTCCAAAACGTGAAAAGTGGGCATTAAATCTTCAACCCGCCGTAGCTGCCGGGGTTGCCAGGTGCAGGCGATAAAAACAGTTAAATGTGATTTCGGGATGTGCCCTCCATCGACGGATACCAATTTTCAAGTTCTAAACTTGTTCCTTTGACAGTTACAGTTTTTGGGGTAAATCTCAAAAAATACCCTAAAATCGGGTAATTTTTTTCCACCATATGAAAGAGTCTATAGAGATACACAATCGCTCCATACATGTCAAAAACCTGTAGGGTTGCCAAGTCGGTCAAAATCGAGGTTAAATTTCAAACGTTGTTCGCTCTCAGTGTTGCCAGTCGATCGTTCTATAATTTCCATCAGGTACCTTGAAAAGTTAAAATTAAAATATTTGCATCAAAAAAATTCAAAAATTCGACAAAAATTGTTTCCTCAAAAATCTCACAAAGTATCAAAAAATTTCAAGATTTTTTTTCACCAGGCAACACTATAGTTACTTGCCTAAAAATTGTTTCCCCGGAAGTACTCTGACAAATGTCGCCAAGTGCGTCAAAATCGGCTCGACGTGGTGACGATACCCAATTTTTCGGATAAAATGGCCGCTGGTTTGGCCGCCATCTTGAATTTCGAAAATCCGGCTCCGTACCGGTGTGGCCAACTCGATAGCGCATTCGATGCACTTTTTACCATTTTCCTAGTGGCAATACCGACTGCGCTAGAGTCGACAAAGTAAAAAATGGGTGAAATTTTTCAAATCGCCACATACACCAGGGTTGCCAGGTTTCGACGACGAAAATGGCCAAATGTCATTTCTGGGAGCATCCTCCGTCGAGGAAATTCATTTTTGAAATTCCCAAACGGCTCCTTCTACTTTTCACCTTTTTGGGGTAAATCTCCGAAATTACCCTAAAATCGGGGAAAAAATTCACTTCATTCGAAAGAGCCAGCAGAGACTCACGACCGCTCCATACAAGGCGAAGAGCTGCGATGTTGCCATGTAGGCTAAAAGTGCGTTTGAATTTTTCGAAAAAGTGAAAAAATCACAAAATGGCCGCTGCCGGTGCCGCCATATTGATTTTGCCGAGTTTCACAATTTTCCTATAGTCACGACTATATTTGGCGCGGCACCTCATTCACAGATTTTCTCCGCTGGCCACCCAGGTTCTCAAACAATTCGGGTTATGAGGGCATGTCGAAAAACATGTTTTCTACCGTGGAGCCCAGGGTTGTCAGCTCGCAGAAACGAAAACTACCAAAAGTCATAGGGCTCCCTCGGCGCCACACCGCATCGAGTCTGTTTTCCGCGAAAAGTGCGTATTTCGAAATTTCACTTTTCTCCCAAAATCTCCTAAACTACCACGAAAATGGTAGAAATAGGTAGTGAAGTAGAGAGATCCTACCGAGCCCCCCGACCGGCCCATAGAACGCGAATCCGTCCGACGCCGCCATCTTTGAGAAAATCTCACTGGAAAATGGCGATTTTTCATTGCCGAAACAAAATGGCCGCCACTGCCGCCGCCATGCTGATGCGCAAATGAAAACTCCCCGTACGTGAAAATCGACTATGATTCCGAGTCGCCGACGTAAAAATCCCCCCTCCAAAGCCACCACAAAAGAAACGACGATTGCCCGAACAGAGGTCGAAAAATGCCAAATTTCCAGGTGAAATATCTCGGCCGCCATTTTGTTTTTTTAATCAAACCCCTTTTCATTGCTATTTTTTTAGCCCACTCTACGACCATTTTGAATATCGTAATCGTAGAGTGAATAATGTAGAAACTAAAAAAATTATCTCGCCGCCATTTTGTTTTTTGGCTGTACCGATATGCCATTTCAACTCGAATTAAAAAAATATTTAAAATATTAATTCAGTACGAAAAACGCTACCATTTACGCAACTCGTGCTCAATAACCAGAAATACCATATACATAAAATAATATATTTAACCAATTTTTAGTGATAATAATAATAGTTAATTTTACTATTTATTACGTTTTATATGTAGTCATTATTATACGATTTTATAGACATTTTCGACTTCTTATTTATATCTAACGCAAAAGGAGACTTACCACTAACCGCCGAGTGGAAAGAAACCTTTTCAAATACTTTACTTTGTAGTTTTATAACTAACCTGCATGTTCTCTTGAGCCGTTGTTAAAATTATACCCTTGGACATAACAACATAGTTGAACGTCTCCATGTAGAAGTTGCTCTCCACGTGGAATATCACGTACTCGCCCACCTGCAGAAAGGAACTTTATGATTTTTTTTTTTCGTTCAGTCTCATTTATTTCATATTTTAGTTTTTTAACTATGCTTTATATTATCATGATAATTAGCGGATAATAATCTGATAATTATACGTAGTTACTGCTAAAAAAAATTTATTGGGTTGGCACAAAAGTAATGAGACACACTAGAAAAATCTATAACATTTCTTTTTTAAAATCAATTTTTTGAATGAATCTGAATGAATTTTTATTTTTGTTGTTTTAAATTAGAATTTAGAATACAAAACAAAAAAATTACAGTGAAATTACATTGAACAAAAAGTAAAATGAAAATAGAAATAAATAAACAAATATAAAAGTTCCTCCCCCTTTTTTTTCTATCAGAAAAACTATATTTGTCAATTGTTTAAAGATGATTCCCCTTTAAGTCCTAAAATCCTTATGTTGTGTAGTATAATATATAGAGAGTGCGTTGTGACCTTGGCGTCCGTAGTGCTAGTGGAGATGCGCAGATGCTGGTTGCGGTGGCTGTGGTGGGCCACGAGGTGCGCGTCGGCCGCCGCGCGCTGCCCGCCGCCGTCCGACAGCTCCACGTGCAGCCGCGCGCCCGTTATGCCGCCCAGCACCTCGCGGTAGTTCGGGTCGCGCTCCAAATCTACCATCGTTTATTTATTCAAAGACCGTAGGCGCGTGTAATCAAAATTGTTTCACAAGGAAATAAACATTTTTTATAACTAATATTATTATTTATCTTGTTATTATATATCCCTATGAATTAGTGAGTAACTTCCTAGCTTTAAGGAAACTTATAGACATTGCATTCGATCATTATAGTTTGATTAATTTTGCATTCACAATGCCATACTGAAAATTATTCTTAATACAAAATGCTTAAAAAATCCACTCGGTCCCTGACATGGCTTGAAAGATCCTGTTAGGTCCTGGGTAGCTAAGCGGTTAGAGCAGTCGCCCGGATTGCGAAAGGTCGTGGGTTCGATTCCCATCTCAGGGTGCCAGGGACCAAGTGGATTTTTTAAGCATTTTGTATTGAGAATAATTGAATTCGATATTAATATAAACAATGTTGATCAAAACGCGGCAATTCTACTTGGGTCAACTTTTCGTTTAACACAGAATCAAAAATCACTTTACCCCGAGATTTGGAATATTGTAAAAAGACTGTTGTTCGTTTTGAACGAACGAATGTTCGAACTGAAAAGCTATGAAAAAATGAAGTGTATATTTCGATAACAATGTTCATGCCCCCGCAGCTATGGTGTGGTACTCACTGAGCAGCTTGTACAGATCCAGCCGGAGATGCCAGACGGCCTGGTGGCCGGGCACGAGCGTGGGGCGCTGCGACTCCACGCCCCCCCCGCGCCCCTCCAGCTGCAGCTGCACGGACAGCGCCACGCCGCCCGCGCGCCGCTCCGGCAGCGGGGACCCGTCGTGGTACGACACCACCATCTGCGGCCGGCACCGCACTACTCGCTCAAACGTTCTATCTACGGTGGACACTCGAGTGCCCGGGCCTCAGTTATATACGGACTACCCAGACTCCTAAACAGGGGCGTAGTTACCGCAGTATCTGCCGTATCAATTATATGGGGCCCCGGGCGAGGCGGCCCTGAACGTGCGTAAGCAAAAACTTATAAAAACTTCCCAAAAAGCATGCGTTTCAAAATTGACAACACCATATATCTCTTTTCGCGGACACCGGGATTTCTCCGTTTAAGTCATTTACTTCAACGGGGGAATCTCACAATAATCGATGTACATACATACGATTAAAAGTCGCACAGTTTATAATAAATAATAGAGTCATTTAATCAAACATTTATTTTCTTTTTGTGAGAAATCTGTACCCTTCATTAGGGCTCCCAAACAAATTTTTATACGGGGCCCCGTCAAGGCACGCTACGCCACTGCTCCTAAACGAAATCGAGAGCTTCTTGTGTTCAAAATGATATCATGTAATTACGATAATGCCATCTTAGAAATGGTTAGGCAAAGTAAGTCTTAGCAAAAGAGAAAATACAAAGTTGGACCCCGTTATACTAATTCGTGTTCTATTTGGTTTGAGTATAATTAAAATACAGTTTTTAAAAATAACTAAGAAGACTTTACGTGAATAACACCTTGCTCATTAAGATTTATCTATACCGATACACTAATCGACGATACGACAGTTTCTATAGTGAAAAACGGGTCATGAAATTCAATAACCAATAAAATTAACTACATTTAAATAAACATAGATTGCAAAATTATATCATCAAATTAATATCTTGAATAAAGCTTAGCTAACTGTAAACAAGTGACTTGAAACACAATCCACCATGGCGTGACGTCATATCAACAGTAACATTGTTGCATATGTCAGAGAATAATGCTCTATCTTTTTATTTTGCAACAAGCAAGACACACAATATGAAGAAAACGATAAATGTTGATAAAATCGTTTTCATTTTGGAAATTTTAAATAATATTTAATAAAATTACAAAGTACTTTTCTTCAGCTTTAATACTGTAAATCAATATTGGAAGAAGTTAGAGAATTTTCTCAAGTAAGTAACATATCACGAGTTTACGTATAACAAGGTATATTGAATAAATGAATTATCTATTTTTCTATCCCTCTAACACGTTACAATTAAAAATCATTTGAAGGTACTCACGTAAACATCAAACGGCATCGAGGGTTTGAACACTTGTGGGGATCCCCCTAGAATAGTGACTTTGAGCGAGGAGTTGAATATCCTCGCGATGCTGTACCCCTCTATCACCTCATCAAGGAACGGATCACCGACTGCAGCGGTGATGATCACTTCCACGCCGTCCAGATTGGGTACCAGTTGGGCCAACTCCGATATAGGGTATTTGAAGTCGTATGTGCCGTTGAACTATAAATTTATAGCAAAATTAGGTACAACTAGGTTGCCTGGAAGAGATTGCTACGTAGCAATAAGGTCGCCTTTTGTAATCTCCCTTTTTTCTAGTTTCTCTGTAATATGTCCTGTCTAACGTGCAATAAAGGATATTATTATTATTATTATATAGCTCATAGCAAATGTTACCCATCATTGCAGAAGTCACATTAATTGTATTGTACGTATTAGGATTGTTTTATATCAGGAATTGACAACCTTTTGACACTTTGAGGATAATTAATATTACGACAAATAGCATAACTTCAAATGCAAGACATCTCAGATAGTTAATATTACGTCATTATGGTACAAATTAATTCAGAAAAGTCAACTTTAGCAATAATTAGATTTAACAGATTTTTTTTGCCTGACCGTACTACATCTAGATTGTTATTTTTTTTGTATCAAATATTTTAATTACTGTCTTGTAAAGTTAGTATCATAGCAAATAACAGGTTTTACCTATAAATGAGCTGAATGGATATGACTTACAAATCTTAAATACGGCAACTGGTCGTATGGCGCGTTGTAGTACGAGTTGTACCCAGCGGCGGGCGTGGTGTACTGGTTGTAGTTGGGGTTGTTCTGGTACTGCAGCGCGTCCGGCTTCGGCATCCAGAACGGGTACTTCTCATCCTATACATACATCAATACAACCTGTTAAACTGCTGTTAACGGGCATCGCTCAACCGAATCGGCTGATCAACTATACTTATCGTTTATTTTCAATACTTAAATACGAGGGTCAAACTGAAAGTTCTTAGAACTGGCCACTTATAAACAATATAATAAAAAAATAATTCTAAAATTTGAAAATATAACTCTTTGCCAATATTACTGAGTATATATTTCATTCATTTGTCATTTGTTTTACGATTTGGCGGCAAATTGAAAATTGTCTGTGTCACGTCATCATGAATTTAACACGAGAAAATTTTCGTGCAATGATTTTTTATGACTTTCGATGTCATTTAAGTCAACAAGAAAGTTATGATAGACTACGATTGGCCTTTCACGATGAAGCCCCATCTCGTGCGACTGTTTACAACTGGTTTAATGAGTTTAAACGTGGTCGCACTAATCTCACTGATGATTTACGTGAGGGACGGCCTTCTACGGCGACGACTGAAGATAACATCTGTGTTGTGCGGCGTATGATAGAGACTGACAAAAGAGTGACCTATCAACAGATTCGGACAAGCTTAGGCATCGGTATGAGTCAAGTGCACAAAATCCTCCACGAACATTTAGCGGTCAGGAAGCTTTGCGCCCGGTGGATACCTCATAATTTGACTGAGGCTCAAAAACTCCATCGTGTGGATTGGTGTCGTAAAATGATTGAAAGATTTAACGGAGGTGACTCAAATGCTGTGTTCGACATACTAACAGGTGACGAAAGCTGGATTTACTGTTATGATCCTAAAACCAAAAGACAATCTGCTCAGTGGGTGTTTCCTTTCGAGGAGTTGCCAACTAAAGTGAAGAGAGATCGAAGTGCGGGAAAAAAAATGGTGGCCTCGTTCTTTGGAAGGATAGGTCATTTTGCAACAATTGTGTTAGAGGATCAAAAAACAGTTTCTGCAGAATGGTACACTACCAATTGTTTGCCACTTGTCTTGGAAAAAGTTCGAGAGAAACGACCTCGCAGTAGGATCCTCCTTCACCACGACAACGCCTCGTCGCACACCGCCAAGCGAACGATCGACTATTTGGCGACATCAAACGTTGAATTACTGGGTCACCCGCTGTATAGCCCCGACCTCGCGCCTTGTGATTTTTATTTATTTCCAAAAATTAAAGAAAAACTTAAAGGAAAGCGGTTTATGAATGCTGAAGAAGCGGTGGCTGCGTATCGCGATGCCATTGAAGAGACCCCTAAGGACGAGTGGGCAAAGTGCTTTTCCCAGTGGTTCCATCGCATGCAGCGGTGTATTGACGTGAATGGACAATATTTTGAAAAGATATAATAAAACTAATAACTGGCTAATGTAATCAGTTTTTGATTTTCTAAGAACTTTCAGTTTGACCCTCGTAGAACTTTGGATAATTGTCCATTTATACCTTGTATGGCTACAGTTCCGCTGATTATAACATAATTGATACAGCTTAAAAAGAAATTTAAAGCTTACTATTTATAAAAGTGTTTTAAAACGTAAAAATAAATTCTTATTAAGAGGAGCAAACGAATTATAATCATAATTTATACTATAATAATAAATCATAATATTTTTAAAAGTATCTAACTATCATCAGATCGAGATCTAAATTTAATCTACCTGACATACTATTGACTTTACGTTAATATTCTTCGAAATACAAATATATATAGAATATAAGAAAAGGAAACAGCAACTCAGTGAGCGAGATTTCAATAACCGTTTGTGACCGACACGTATGAATTGAACAAACGTATATAATTAATTACGCTATAGTATTAGTAGAGGAGTGGGCACATACGAAGTTGAACATCCTGGTGCGCACTTGCTGCACGTCGTACCACCAGTCGGGCTGGTCGAGCTGGTTGGGCTGCCCGGGCAGGGGGCGGCGCGCCTCCACGCGTCCGTACTCGTCCACCGGCTCGCCGTATCCGTAGGGCTGGTACCCGCTCTCGTTGTACAAGTACGGGTTGTAGTTCGGACGCACTACACCGATAGGGAATATGCACTATTTTTTTTTAAATATTTTTATTATATGATAATTTACGGCGTTATATAACTTTAAAAAAACCCTGTAAAACTAAAATTTTGTGACAACTATGATATTAGGTAACAACTTTAAACTATGGTTTTTGGCGCGTTTGTCGTGACGTCAATGTCTACGACTGTTCGGTGCTATATGCAACGAACAGCAAAAATTATACGTGGGAAATGGAACGTAAGACATTGAATGAAAGAGAAGCAAGGTGTGTGAGAATGAAAGAAAATATATGAAATAAAGATGGCTATTATTGAGAAAAAAGAAAATGTGTGCGGTTTATGTGCCAGAAATACAAATTTGTAAAAATAAAGATTTCGATTAAGAAAAACGTCAAATTTATTCGCCCACATTCTCGCCAATATATTTACAAGCAAGCATTATATACCTGACATTTAAAAAAATAATTCAGTACGAAAAACTACCATTAATACCATTTACGCAACTCGTGCTCAATAATCATCAATATCATTTACATAAAATAATATATTTAACCATTTTTTTAGTAAAATTATAATACACTCAGGGGCACAATGCTTCCAGCAAAAGTGGCTTATCTTTGATACTAAACTCTTAAGATGATGAATGACAATTTGTTAGGTGGGTAGTTTATGGTAAATAAAGACAACTTATGACTATTTTGTAAAGATACCCTCAAGTGAGTCTCTTTTATTGAGTTCACTCGAAAATTGACTTTCGAATTGATTGTTTTGCGTGTACGCAAAGTATTGCCTGTGAAGTTTATAGACGCGTTTTTTGGTTCTTAAGGTGCGTTAGATTTTGTCAGTTGATTTTTAATCAGTAAAATGCCATCGGATGCAGCTGGTGCAGCTTGAGTGGTTGCGCTCTCAGAAGCTGGGTATAGCCAGCGTCTATACCCAGCATCTGAGAGCCGTATGCTGGGATTTCCTCGAAGCACAATATGTGACGTATTTTGCTACAATATATATTGATGTTTTAAGACGAACAATTTGAATGTGTAGATGACCCGGAAATAGGCTACATATTAGTCTTTAGTCAGCCAACAAGCACATCTAGTCACAGAGCAATCGTGAGGGGTATGTTGGATGGCAGCGAGCCCGAGCTGCCATAAGCTAGTTTGGGATACACCGGTCATAAGTGTCACATTTTAATAAATGTGCATTTACATATTTTATTAACATACAATAAATTATGCAACCTATAATAATAATAATTTTATTTCCACCACAAATAACATTATAAAAGGATGTACAGTCGACTGACCTCTCGTGTACTGACTAGTGTCGAGTCCCGGCGGGGTCCCGTACTGTCCCCTGTTGTTGAACTGTCCCTGGGCGTAGTAGCGCGGCCGGTACTGCGGTATCGGCCTGATGGTCGCCTTCAGGGTTAAGTTCCCGCGCACTGGAGCACCGGACGTGTAATTCGCCATGATCTTCCCGTGGATGTATTGATCGGTATTGAAGAAGAACGCCGGCATCGTTACGTTCACCTATCGAATAGAAGAGGTGAAAGAGCTTTTTTTTATTAACGAAAAACGAACTTATAAAGTGTAAAATGTAGTAGCTTTCTGTCCATGTGGATTTATGTAGAATTATTATTTGTGAATGAGCTTTATGAGCCTTTAAAAAATCTACAGAAGAAGGTAGTATTTTCATTCCCTTAAAGCAATCTGAACTAAGATATGGGCTACATTATTACTGGTTCTGTTTTTATAACCAACCTCAAACCTAGTCTGGTAATATTCCTCGACGAGGAACTGGGTCTCCTCCACTTGACCGAGCGCCTCCACCCTTATGGTCCACTCGCCGAACAGGGGCTGGTCGGACAACTGATAGTGCAGACTCACCGTGCCAAAATTACTCTGTGAATAAATGAAACATGGCGTATGGTGAATCTTCGTTTGCGCAAAGTAGACTTCGCGCCATGATCGAACGTATAGTCATCAGGCTATACAAAATGGCAAATTCCTCAACTTGATTTAAACCTTAATGCTGTAGTCTAATGTAGATAGAGTTCAAAATCAATTAAGGAAAGCCGGAGGTGCAGCTGTGTGTACAATTAAAATTTATAATAGTCTTATTTCAATAACCATAAGATGTAAAATACAACGCATTAGGTGTCCGTCTCATTCACATTCGGCGGGATTCAAACGCAGTATTTTAATAATTCTGATGGGGTGATATTTCTATTCAGAGGTACAATGATGATCACATATTGTTAAAATTTTAATCTCATTTTGTTTTTTCTTAATATTTATTGTTTCGGGAGTTAGGTTCGATTTGAAGAAGCGAATAATCGAATTTAAAAAATATTTTTTTGCTTCTCGTCCTATGTATCAAATTCAATGAGTCTATTGTCTTAATATTGAGTAAAGCAACATTCAAGTATCATAATGTCATATCCTAGAAATAACATTCTATATCGCAATGAAAAATGTTTTATAAACTCATGCATAACAGTGACACTGAACATAAGAATCTATTGACATGACATAAAGGTAAGATTGCATCGCACAATGGCACATAAGCAATAGCAACAAGATTCTTTATGAGTGTAACACATATAACCTGTAAAACAATAGTGACGTAATTTAGATCATCTTTTAGCTGTTATGAAGTGTTAAAACGTTGCTTTTCACAAATCAATGAACAAATTATACAATATATGTTTATTTTAGGAACTTGATTACCCAAAGTACAAAGTAACTTAGAGAAATTTGGTCACTGATCGCACACATACTACAAATAAGATTATTAGAATACTGCAAGAGGTAAATGTAATCGTAGTTACAAATATCAATTACTTCTCATAGAATATAAATGCAGTAATAAAATATTGACTACACACGGTACAATAAAGTTATTAGAACATTTAAGCTGTACTAACCTGTCTAGAGAGCCATCTTTTCAAAATGCGCCGATTTGGATCCAATATGAAGACGTCAATGGCTCGTCCAAAAGCTTTGAGCTCCGTATTTATAGGAATGACACGGAAACGAACTGGAAGGAATATTTTCTTGTACATGTTTTGTACTCCAACACAAACATTTTTTTTATTCAACTCTAGTTATTACATTTTATGTTAATAAATTATAATTAAACTATATTCATGATAGAGTTTTGTTGTCAACAATGTGTTACCTATTTGATTTTGCATGTAGACAGGTTTATCCATTTGGATGAATATTGTCATAAATCGTTTGGAGAAGGCTAGCTGAGATTCGTTCACAAATGCTCGACCACCAAATGGATTGTCCAAGTACAACCCTTCCACTCTCAATTTGTAATCACCAGGTACAGATGTTGGTGGTACCTATAAGAAAATTTATAATTAATTTTCCTTTGACGGTTCCTATCCTCCATACATAATATTATTTTTACAATATATTTCTATTTTTAGTAAAATACATTATAGAAGCTCAAGAATAAAGACGGACAATCTAATGAAGTGCTAGCACAACAAATGAGTGCCAGTTGAATAACAATATAATAGTAGTATTATCAACACAGAACACAGAAAAACAATTATATAGAAGAATGCTGACTTTTTAGAAATTTTGTAGCACAAATAAGTGGTCTGTTAATTATGCTTGATTCCAAGTCCTTGGAACAGAAGAATTTAGGAAAGACTGAATAGGGAATATGCGTCTGATTCAAAAAAAGGTTAAATATATTTTATTACAATCGTTATTGCTTTAGAATAAAGTCTATCTAAATATTTTTCAATATTAGTTCGTTTTCGTCTTGAAAATAATTATTAAAAAGTGCGAAATAAATGCGGTAACTTCAAAATATTTAAACGCCATGCTACTTGTCAGAGCGGATGTGACGAAAATGTACACGTAAAGGGATGTCGTTGTTACAAAAAGTTAACATCGATGCAATAACATCAATGTATTATGTCGCAAAATAAACAACTGATTACAATTTAAATGATGTTTAAGGCTTTTATTTTTATTTCACCAATTAAGTAAATTATATGATTTATTAAAAAAGTCTATTATACTTTAAAAATCGCTTAGTTGTTAATCGCTTTAGGTAATTGAATAATAATCAAACACTAAAAACCCATATTGATTTGAAATGTCATATCTCTAGTCGTGTACTTTGACGTCACGACACGCGCCAAAAATTACGGTGTTTAAACTGCTCGTAGCTATTACTTACTTTCATTAATTATTTATGTTACAAAATTTTAGTTTTTCGGTGCCGGGTATTTTTTTACAGTTATATATCGATGTAAATTATCATATAAAACCATTTTCCAAAAATGTGCATATTCCCTATTAATAAAGATATTAAAATGTATTGAACTTTTAATAGAAACCAACACAGTTTATTTCTTATATCTTGTCAAAAAGTAAGTATTTTTATAAAAAAACTGATGATATATAAAAACTAAAATTCTGTAAATCTAAAACTAATAATAAAAATCGTAATACCCTCATATTTAGAATTTCAGGTACACCCTCTTTCACTCTTTGTATAACATCAGCAATTTCTACACCATCCCTCGATATAGATGCCCTGACTGTCATCTGTAATCGAGCTTGGAGGATGTTGGCAGAGATCTTGTAGATCTGCCCTGGCCGGACCATTCGCGATGCAACTATGAAATATGTCCTGAAATAGCAGGGTTTACGATGAGACTATCCTAATATAGTTAAAATTAAGTTAAAACTATTCATTTTCTCTTAGAGGTATATGTTCAAAATTAAGCATATGATGTAATTTTATATAATATCTTTTATAAAAAGTTACTTATTATGATTTATTTAAAAGAGTTTTTTAATATGTCAGGTTATATACATATAAAAAAAAATTTCACACTGATTTTATCTCTACTGAACTAAATTGGTACATATAACTAACAAAAACTGAAAGCTATTAATTCTCTAAGAATGCTTTTTTTTACTTTCATTTAGTATGAATAGTAATGAGAAAATTCCTGGGAGTTTTGGGTAAATTGGGTTTATTTCTGATAAACACCCATAAATTCCTGCTCACTGGGCATTTTATTTCTAACAAATTTTATTTGAAAATTAAACAAAGATCAATTAATTGACTCAGTTGTGTTCTGTTGTTAAAGATAAAATATATAGATTACAAGTACAAGTTTAAATAGTAACATAATAATAAACGTAAATAAATCTACATATACAAATGAAATAACTTTATTAATCATCGCCTGGCACAAACTATTGAAGATTAACCCCTGGTCTTTAATCAGTAGAGTTATTTGCAGAGAAAACACTTACTAAGAAAGGTTTACAGAAATTCAACCCCTAGGGAATAATGGTTGAAAGTTTACATGGAAGTCTGTCATTTTTTATGTTAGAGATGTGAAACTTTATTGGATCACTGATTATTAATTACTAAATACCTACTGTCTAATGGGTCAAATAGAGGTTTGTAAGTTCCTTTACAATACCACGTAAATTGTTATTTGTAATGTGTAGTGTACAATGAAGCATATATTATTACATTAATCTTAATAATCTTATTTATTTCACAGACAGCGCCATTATTTTCGATTGAAAATAAGCCCTGAAATATCTATTTAATATAAACCACCATAAACAAACCAAAATACATACCTTCTGATACCTGATACCAATATATTAGGTACCTCACAATTGTTAAATATAATAGAAAATCAACTTTCATTTTAAGAAGGTATAGAAAAATCAAATATCTAGATTTACTACTTTATTCTTCATGTTTAATATAGAAGTTTTATTTACAAAATACTTCACTGAACTCATATTTTATCTCTAATAAACAAGGCAATCGGCAAATGAAAGCGACAGCATGGCGCATCCTTGTTTGATACAGGCCAAGCAAGAAGCTGATATTTCATGTGTACATCTGTACTTACGCGCCGGGTACACACACTGAATATATAGGTTTTTATATACCTTTCTTTAAAATCAGCTGGTATCTTAAAGGTATAATTTACACAATTGCTGAAATAAGTATTACAAAAATTTCAATGAGTAGCCCTAAAACAAAGTTTGATGTTTCTAATTTCCAAAATGACAGACTTCCATAAAAACTGTCAACCCACACCCATTAAGGGAAGATTTGCACAGTCACTGAAAAGATATTTACTAATTTTTTATCAGTTGCTCAAAAATAGTTTCACATTTCTAATTTCAATAATGAATGAGACTTCCATACAAGCTTGCAACACCAATTTCTCTTGCAGTTGTTAATTCATTTTTTATTAGAAGCTTAAAAATACAGTTGCACATTTCTAATTTTAAAACCGACAGTCTTTCATACAAACTTTTAACCCTTCAAGGGATAAATTTCAAAATATCCTCTCAGTCAGTATAAACTACACAAAATAGCTCTATTGTCCAAATGATGAGTGATGCTATTAATTAGAACAAGTGATTTTATAACTATAGATTGATTACAAGCTTATTTACATCATAATTATCTATACTAAAATATTCCTTTCTTATGATTCAATATTAATTATTAAATTGTTACTACAGTTCTTTATTTATTGAATATCTTTTCTTAAAACAATATAATTTTTATGCCTTCTGATCAGGCAAATAAGATTTATTTCCTAAATGCCTGGTTTTTTTTCCCTATCTGCCCGCCGCATGAAAATACTTTGCTCATCTCTAAGTATGATGCATTTGTTATTTTCTTTCATTATAATCACTGTATGGACTAAAACTTTAAAAAATCAAATTAATTAAAACTCCACCTTAAATGGAATATAAGAATGTGTTGATATTATTAAATACAAACTTTTATGCTAGATTTCTTCATAATACTTACGCTTCATTGATAATGACACTATCATGCTCCAATGGGGCAGTCTTATATGATGTGCTGTATGTCCTCCCAGTATCCCACTGTGGTCTTGGTGTGTTATCAGAATTATATGGATTCTGATTGTATGGCTCAATCTTATTATCATATCTCTGATTGGGATCATATTGGTTCTGATTTATGTTGGGATATTGATTTCTATTCTGATAAGATCTTTGATTTGGATCATATGGATTGTCATATCTGGGGTCAGTCTGACCTTTATAATCATTTGTTGGATTAGGTTGACTAGTGTCAGGATAGTAAGTAGGCACAGAATAATCTTGAGAAGCACTTAATTTAAATATCGAAGCTGAACTTAAAAAGATAACTATGAGATTCATGTTTCAGTCTTAATTTAGTAGTCTGTAACAATCAAGAATTTAGAATTATCAGTGTTGGTTACACATGTTAAAACAAATTCAGTTTAATAATATTCAAATAAAATTAAACTTTTTAATTATGTAATCTAGTAACGCTAGATAGTAATATCTTCAAAGTTTCAAGTTACAGAATGTCGTTACTCAATACAAACATTGAACTAAAATTTCATTATTAAACTTAAATGCATTACATCTTAAGTGTTCACTATTAACACGAATTATAAATAAAACGAGAAAAAAGAAGGGTTTCAAATATAATTAACCTTAATTTTAATTTAATAAACACTAAACAACTTAACCTGAAGTTAACGCCCATGGATACGTTTTGCTTCAATTTTTTGGAATACTGAAATTGTGATCATTTACACTAAAACGTTTGCTACTTTTAAATCTAAATTAATTTGTTTTAGTGTATTTTCATGCTAATTTATGTATTTCTAAACTGAAATCTCAGAAATAAACAAACGTTAACGCCGTACATGTCACTTCACTCAAAAAACCTTTCTTTGCGCAGCCGCACCACGCCCGGCTTTACTAGTGATGTGCATCAAAGAGTAGTATTATAAAAATTCGTCCATGGGACAGGCGAAGGAACTAAGCCATACAGCCAACATACAGAAACGGCTGACAAGTAGATCGCGCGGTGCGAACGAATAACTAGAGAAATAATATATCAATAAATAAAAATACAGGGCACAGATTAAAAGACAATATAGACAAAGGAGTTACTAAAGCCTAATGTCGACAAGGCTCACGCGCCAAATCAAATAGCAACACCACTTTCCCTTTCCTGTTGAGTTTTTTCGGTTCCTGTACCGTTAAGTTTCATTCGCGATTGATTTGAAAAATATCGAGTTAAAATTCGGCATTAGTGCATATATAATATTAAATAATAGGTACTTCTCTTTTTGCCTTCGCACATCTTCCTCACTGTGTAAGTATGAATATACTAATGATGTGCCGATTCGATTATTTTACACTTCGATTAATAGATTAAGTATTAAACAAAATCAATTAATAATCAATTCACCTCATGATTATTAAATATTTTTACCCTAAAAGTTTATTAATGATATCAGATTAATTCCACCGTATTTTAAAGCCATCCATGTTAATGAAAAATAGTTAAAAATAAATTTTAAGATAATGTTTACTATACCATCATTGTGCATGCAAAATTTATAGAATTAAACTAGCTGTACCCGTGATTTCGTCCGCGTGGAAAGTAGCCTTAGTAATTACTTATTACATAAGCTATCTGCCAGTGAAAGTCCCGTCAAAATTGGTCTAACCGTTTCAAGTTTAGCCGGAACAAACAGACAAAAAATGTAAAAAAAATAGTAAGTACCGTGTAACAGTTTATTTGTATTTGTTAAAATAAAACTGTAAGAGCCGTTCATTCATTCATCGGGAGTTCCCGACCAAAGTTACCTATTTGTTCGTGAGAGTATTCCAGGGTTACCATAAGTAATAGAATATCTACTTATAATATTCATACTGGCGATCCGCTATGGGTTGCGGAGCCATCGCAGTAAAGTAAGTAGGTACTATACTAACGTTTTAGACTATTCATATTGCTAACGTTTTAAGAAATAATCGATGGTTAATTGTCGATTAGGAAATCATAATCGATAGCAACTGATTATTTGAAAAATCGATTAATGGTAATCGTTTCCACACACCATTAGTATATACCTCGGGAACCTCATTCAATCTCACCCTAGATATTCTGCGTCATACTAAGATTTCTTCTCCTATTCTTTTTCTTTGTAAGCTCTCCCGGAAGATGTCAGATGTCGCTCACCTATGGGGCCGTATATTAAAAAAAATAGAATTTATTCCGTTTCATTTTACATGTAGAAATTAATTTATTGACTTGACATTGATAGAAATGCGCAGATAAGCCATTAATAAAGGAAGAATTGATCACGTGATGTTTTTTCAGCATTTTTAATCCCCTCTCCCCTTGGTAATACAGATGAGGTTTAAAACTAACCACCCCTCCCCTCCACCCAAACACGTGTATTTTTTAGTACCTACGAAAACCTTATTTTTGACTCTGCTTTTCAGTTTAGTAATTGCGCGTTTGAAGAAAAATAAATACACTTGATACATTACTAACCTCCCTCCCCTTTGTGATATTTGGTTATTTTTAATGAACCCCCTTTTGAACTTCAATTGATAAATGGACGGCCCCTAAGATTAAAGCTTACTAAGTTTTTTGGCGATCGAGTTCGATATCCATTATTAGAATTAAACAGGCGTTACGCTTTTGACTGGAGCCTGAGAAGGTATATCGATGAGCCACATAAGTTGTTTCTTACCGTAGATCGCTCAGATCAGGGGTGCTAGCTCTCCAATCCTAGGATTCGACATCTTAGCGATATATCGTTTCATCCATAATCACCATTCTTTATTACTGGTTCATCCTAATAATATTATAAATCTTTAATAAACAGGTACAGGTACAAAATAAAATGTCGTATCCTATGCGTAGGGTTAGGCGGTTGCTCTGCAGACCAAACAAAAAAGATCTACTTATTTAATTATCCGATTGGTAATCAAACCCAGGACCTCGGACATCACCTTGAATATCCATACGAACCATTTTGCTATGGATGTCATCAATACAAAATTGAGGGAGTGGAGGCACTTGATCGGGGCTCCAAAATCATCATAATATAGGTAATAACTATTAAATCATATTGAGACTGCATGCCCAAGCAAGCCTTACGAAGCGGAAGGAGTGTAGAAGGGCACACACAATATTAAGTTTCTGTCCCGGTCGGTAAGTCTTGTAACGACTTTGTTAAATCGAAAATAGATATCACGATAGTTTTCACGTTAAGACTCTTGGCTTAGTCCTTGCGCCATGTGAGACAAGGAACCGTTTACCAAATCACCACTCGCTCTTCCGTCAGTAGAATCTTATAGCCGCAATACATTCGTTATAATAATAGCAACGTTAAAAATGGGGCGTTAAATTGACGAAAAAAGTTAGTAACCTCTGACGGATTTTTAACAGAAACATCGTGAGTACATTATTATTATTAGGTACTTCATGTCTATGCATGATAGTATTGGCGGAGATTTCACGCTGCTCTATTGTTTAATTCTAGCATAAGTGTTTATACGATCATTTACATTGTTTGATAAACCATTCATTGAAATAAATGACACATACTGTTCGATTTTGACTTGAAAATGACCCATAGTAAATTACAGGCCTTATCGTCCAATGTAAATAACCCGTGAAGTTTATCTACCCAAAAAAAATTAAAGATACATACTGCTTTTAATTTAAGGACTTATAGGGAATGGTTTTGCCCTCTTGTTCTGTCAATTATCATGTGAAAGTAAGTTAAAAGAAAATTATACTATTAATCATTATCACATCTTTGGGAGATATTGAATTGTATGGCAGTGGATAATTTACATGTATACAAGGTAAACTATGTCTGATACCAGGGCTAAATGGAAACTTTGAATAATAAGGCAAGATTTTTTATTATCTCCCACTGAATAAGCCAAGTAACTTTTTACATTCAAATGTACTGAACACAGGCACATTGATAAGGATAACAAAATAAAAAATATTCTGATTGATGAAACTCTAATTAACCACTGAATTCTCCACAAGATAGCAGGACTTCATAAACAAAGGAATTGCTCAACAAAATAAATAAATCACCGAGTGATATGATGGTTCGTCGCGTCGAGTTACAACAATGTATACCTAGGACGAACAAGAGAGTCCATGGGTTACGGGTACTTCCGGGGCCTCCACTCTTCCATTGAAAAATCATGGTACGCCAGCATCCAATTTATCTTTTGACAAAAAAATCTGTACAAAATATATTAAATATATACTCTGTAATGCTAAAAACTGTAACGCTACCTCATCAATAGTTTCAATCACGATTATTAAATGATTTAAAAACACAATAACTCGTTCACCGTGCGAGAACAACATTAACCTAGCGAGCACAGCCCGCGCGGCGGGGAGACCTATATACAAGTCAACATTCAAAATCATACGCTTCACTCTCCTGAGTACCGCTGCAGCTGAGTTTGATTTATAATTCCGTTGCGTAATTTCATACAATCATGTGGTCTTACGATCTAGTGTCGCTTATCGCGTCCTTTGCTTATCGTCCGTGCGTGGCATCGTAATATACATAGTTAATTTGTTTATTATAATAATGTAGTGCGTCGAGACGTGTGTTAGTTCCGTTCGGAATCGTCGCAGTCGCGTGAGATATGGCCGGGCTTGCCGCACACGTAGCAAGTCTTGGTGCCGTCGGGGCAGTTGCGAGAGATGTGGCCGGCCTTGTTGCAGTTGTAGCACGTCTGCCCAGAGCTGTCCCGTCCGCCCTCCGGACAGTTCCGCGCGATGTGACCCGTCTTGTTGCAGTTGTAACACGACGGCTCGTCGGGACTCTGCGCGCACTCGCGCGCTATGTGTCCCGTGCCATTACATCTGCACAATAACAATTTATATTAATGGATAGAAGAAATATAGCTTTTTTTATCATTTATACAGTTCGGGAATTGATAATTATTTTACTAATTCCATGCACGTTACAGCAATCATTAAAAAATCTAAATATTCATGAAAATTTCGAAAACATAATTAAAATCACCGATGTAAACCGCTATCTTTGATGTCAAGTATCTAGGATGGCGGTTCTCAAACTTTTTGAAAACCAAGTATTGACATGGTGCACAACCTAGTTTCATGTGTACCGTTTATTTATAGTGAATACATAGGTACTATAATTTGCCGAAATATTACTAATATTTACGTGGACTCCGCAGCGCAAGCACCATTGAGATATGCGGATGTAGGCAGACTGTCATTTTTTTTAAGCCAATTAGTCAATACAATTATTAGACAATTTTAGCATAAGATTTAGATAATAATGTTAACTAGGTAAACACAGCGGGGGGACGTCGAGGATTTAAGTTAAGGTCAAGGCTACAAGATCAAGTTTGATAGAAATGATCGAACATGTGCCTGGTCGTGACCTTCGTTTGGAGGTCGTAAAGTATAATGCTACAATAGATTGAAGGGCGGCTTATCACAAACGAAACATATTACGACTTTCAACTCTACGTGTAATAAAACAAGAACCGTAAAATTTAGATATATGTAATACATTCATATAACAAGATTAACTAATTTAGTTAGTTTCCTATCAGTACTTATAATTAGTTTCGCAAGTCAAGTTATATGAAGTACAATGGAATATAACACATAGACTAATAAACAACTAGGTATATTTATCTATCACAAATTTTCTAGGTCATAAAACTTAATTTTATGTACCTAATCCATAAGGAAGCCGCATTTTTTTTGATGAATAGTATCAGTTGCTACTATGAAATTTTATCTCATTTAATAAAATATCATTATAAACCGGTAAAGGCAATAGCACTTCTCCATATGGTCAGTGTTCCAAATCTGGAAGGATATTTAAGCGTGCAGGTCAAACTGAGCGGAAGGAGACACGCGAAACGCATGTTCTATACATGGTCACCGAATTACCGAATTTTGACTATTCGACGCGTGTGCAGAGCTCCTTATATTTTAATACAAACAATTCTTTACGTTAATTTCCCTCGGCGCAATCGATGAGGATCGATGTGTTTTTACCATGTGTTATTTATTTATGTATTTTTGTTACTAGGTATCTAGTATCAGAATACATTTCATATCTATCGTATACTAAATATTGTAAAAAGCGATACATATGTAATTTAAAATGAAAAGTGTTCTATTCACATTATGTCATGACTCTATTCTGCATCTATCAAGCTGAATATTGCATTTCTTTGTTTCACAACTAATTTAACGAAACTGTTCTAAAATAATAAAAACAACACAAGCTATCAACCAGTGATCTGCCTTCGCTACTATTAGAGTTCAATACCCTGACGCAATAACACTACTGTCAAGTCGAAATGAGAGTAGGCAATATTGTTTATGAACGCAATGCGACATTTTAACGAGCGCGTTCACCTGTAGCAACGGTCGGCTTCTTCCTTGCAGTCTCGTGCGAAGTGCCCTGTACGATTGCACTTGAAGCACTTTTCGCGCTGACGGTTGAAGCCAGAGTCGCGGGGAGCAACACCGCCCTGGGTGCACTCCCGGGCAAAGTGCCCCGTCCGATTGCATTTGTAGCATACGCTCGAACTCATCGCTGTAAAAAAAAACACCACGTTAAATATCACCACGTGCCCAGAATTGACAAGTGCGCGCGCGCATTCCGAAAGCACAACAAAAAGACACGCCATTGAACATTTTATCGTAGCTTTCACATGTCATAACAAACACTAAAGATTTCGATAAACGTGTAATAAATCCTAAAGCGGAATTAAATTAAAAGATATCATTCACCCACTGACAAAAATTATCACTTTTATCACGACGTGAACATGGCACAAATTATGTTGACGGCCATTGACCTCCGCGAACGGCGAATTACAACTATGTTACCAGCATCATTCATAATAAAGTGAGAGGCAAAGTTTCCTCCACGAATATGCTGTTGCTGACGTGTGAACCGCAACGATAAAGATGCGCTCGCAAACGTCGAGATGAATTGCGTGTGATTATCAATTGAGTAGCGTGGATCGTATCGCCATAATGGGAGACGATAAAGAAAATTGGGTATTAAATGACGCGAAATCATTGATCATGTTATTATGAGACTAGTAGAGATGTTTCTATTCCACATTTTACTGCTTTGTATCAATCCTTAAGGCCATCACAAGGTAATTACACTGATTGATAGTTAGTTGCACAAACATCCATTAAAGTTTAATGACGCCTTTAAGCACTGATGAATGTCAAATTTGTATGTGTAATGTCGCTTTAAACTAAGGAAAATTTTAATGGATGTTTGTGCAATTGGCTATTAATCATGTAAACAGACAATTGAGGGCTTTTGTAAAAATAATCTGTTATTAATGGTAGAGATAAATAGTAATGTTACACTGAAGATTTCTGATACATTAAATATTTTCTATGCTAAATTAACACAATTTGATAGTTTCATTAACTTCCATTATTGTTAATGTTAGTGGTTTGAGCATTAAATAATGAGTGTGGTATTTTAATATTCATTCATATGCACTAATGAATACCTAAATAAACAGAAAAATAATTTTCACTACATATTAATTCATATTCATCAAATATATACTTGCTATTTAGTTACTCAGTTATATAAATAGTATTGATGCTTACCAAAATAAATATATTTTAATACAATACTATCAAAATAAATGTAACAGCTGTAACAAAAACCAAAAAGAGGGAAATGTTTTCTTGAAACTATTGGGTCATGGTTTCATATTAAGTACTATAGATTAATTTTCAATCAATGACATACAATGCAAAAGGAATATTGTATAATATTGAATGTCATATTCAGGGGCAATAATTTTTCTTGACTTTGAGAAATAACATATAATTACATTCTTAAAAAGAAGATAATTGGTAATTATTATTAAAAATTTTTGTAACAACAGAAAAAACATACTTTTGTATAAAAACTGGTTATTAACACATGTTGGCATCAATATATCAACTGTTGTCCATATTGATACCCCGAGGTAGAATGGTCAGAAACACAATTGGGGCTTAAACAATAGACATAATTAAAGAAGTTGGATCCTCTAAATTACAAAAAGTTTTGGTTGTAAAAACCTATTTTATGTTTTGAAACTTTAAGATTTATATATCTTGATCTTGAGAATAGATGCATTCGAAATGTGGTGCTGGAGGCATATGCTCCAAATACCGTGGACAGCCAAACGCACAAATTTGTCTATTCGCTCCCAGCTTGGCATTAAATCCTGACTTTTGAGCTTGTGTCTGCAACGCATACTTTCTTACTTCAGTCACTTTATGCGAAAAGGAGATGATAGCCTTGAAAAACTGGTCATTGTTGGAAATACAGAGGGAAAAAGATCACGAGGTCGGTCACCCACACGATGGTCTGACCAGGTGAAAGGAGCTGCTTCTGACTGGAATCGATGGAGAAGGATTGTTTGTTTTCCAGTGACCATGATCCTCAGTAATGAGGGACCGACTACAGACGGAGATAGATCTTGAAATAATACAAAAAGCTATTAAGTTGATATTTATCTAATAGAAAAACAGCATTGTGAATGCAAACTTGATCAAATATAAAAAGTTTATCCAAACAGTGTTTGCAACTTTTCTATCACAAAGTATTATCTTGGTATTAATTAGAAACACTAGTTACTACATAGCTAATATGTAGATATCTATACTAATATTATAAAGAGGAAGATTTGTTGCTATTTGCAATGAGTACGCTTTAAAAGTACTGAATAGATTTAAAAAATCTTTCACTTATAGGACGGTATATCACTGCAGGTGAAATAGGCTATAATTTACTCATGTGAAGTCATAGGAAAACAGGTAATTCACAATAATTATTGACACACATGCAATGTAACAAAATTGGTTTTACTGTTTGGGACTCAAACCATGCATAACTTGAAATTGTTGTATTAATATGTATGTATGGCAAGATATTTATTACCACATGCTAAAATTTATATAAATGAAACTATCATATAAATGCACAAATAATTTGTCTTCAACTTGAATACAATTACAATAATATGTTATGAAACTTTAAGGTAAGATTTGAGAAACATCCTCTATAAACTCATGTTTTAGGTATACACAGCTTTTCTAAACATAAAATATATAGTTACTTAGTTCTGTAAACAAAAGATCATGCATACTTATGTATAATTGCAGCTTTCACATTGTATAGTTCACGTTCATAGTAAAGCGATGCGTCATTGTCTCTAAGTGTATATGAGCAAAAAGAGAAAACCCACTTTTTAAAAAACTTTCAACATACTACACAAATACGACATAAATCAATATCAACTTAAATTTATATAATGAGGTTGGTCAATAGTCGTTAACTGTGCTTAATTGTAGATATTTTAATATAAATTACCTCAACAGCTTGTGACAGAGATGACCCACTGCTTGTCAAATTAACCACATTCAACAAACAACCTAAATCGATGGCGTTAAATTAAAAATAGCAAAAATTCACTCAATATCAACGCGGATTTGTGAGTCGTCATCACAGTACCCCTTGAATTTAAGAAAACATACTGTACAAAGTATGTACGCGGTATAGTGGCTAAACCACGTGTAGAGGCACCGGTAGCGCGCGATTTCATGATGAATTTGGCACTGTACACTTACCGATTAGTTGTGAATCTTTTTGAGCACTCAAATCACTGTTAATTTGATCGTCGTAGGATCAAAAATTTACTGAAAAATTATAAATTAGCTTTAATTTATGATGCTTGGATTGCAAAGAAGCCAGCCACCATCACTACGAATTCGTAAAAGAATATTGAGCATAGACACGAATAATTAAATAGTTTTCAAACGTGACGTGACATATCTCTATGGACGTGAATAGTTCTTTGTTGTTTGGGGGGTGCAAGAAAATGATCGTTTCTTTTTTTACAATATGAATATTACAAAATATCTAATAATAGAAATAAATCATAAATTCACATTTATGAACTTCTTTATCATATATGATCAATTGAATCACACTTATATACCGGCTCAAGACATATTTTTTGCAAGTTTGAGTAAAGACACAAAAAAGATTTCAGTAAATTCGCGGGTCTGCCAAACTTGCTTTCAATCATTATCACAGATTATATAGTTTTGATCTTTATAACAAGTTGTAAAGGACTGTATTTGAGCGAATGTGTAACACGGCAGGGAATATTATAGCAAATCTAAAGTCTTTACCAGACATGTGCTCAAATAAGCATACTTATAGAGTTTGGCAAGCGAAACGTGACACCACCTATTTTTCCGTTTTCATATGGCAACAACATAGAACTGTCAGTTTGACACTACGTTAGACAATTCAAGAATATTGAATTTTGTTGTTTTTGCGAATTTGAACTTGTGTTTTTGGTTAAAAATTATGTCGAAGCCGATAAAAAGTTCATCGAGGAAACTTCTTTCCATCATGATTGACAAGTTTACTGAAGTGAAAACTGAATTAAATAAAAATTTCATGGAGAAATTACAACGATTAGATAAAGTTGTATCTTTTTTAGGTTAGTTTTGTATTATAATTTTGATACTTTCGTTTTAATTTTCTGTAATTAACTAAACAGATATTTTTTATAAAATATTGCTCTATTTCAGATAACTGTGATGGTGATATTCAACCAATAATGGAGGAGATAAATGCAATAAAAACTTTAGAAAAACAAGAAATGCTGAATTCGGAAACGCAGTACTTACAAAAAATTTCTTCAATGACAGGTCTCTTTTCTTGTTTTGATTTAAGATAGATTGATAGTATTCCTATAATATTTACATAGGTTTTTTATGATGTATTGGTTTTTATTGTTGACATCCAATGATGTCATAAGAATGTTTTGTTTAACAAGGAAATTCACAGAATTCATGAAACTAATCAAACCATGTAATTGTTATACATGCTAAATATGCACATAAACTTAACTAAATTAAACATAAATTGCATTCATAGTTGAATAGGTATTTAAATTATTTTGATGTATGTGTCTATCATTATTTGCTTTTAAATACATTTAACATATCTTTGTTTCAAAGTGTTTAATCTTTTATAGATGTAAGTATAAGGACACTAAGAAGGATAAAAAATGAAGCATTAATTAATAAAGGAAAATGGGACACTCCTGGGAAAAAACGACCTCATCAACCAACAGTGTCTGCTTTAGATAATTTTGATTTAAGTGCAATTCGGAATAAAGTAAATGAATTTTATTGTGTGAAAAAAATTGTTCCAACATTAAGAAGCCTTCACAATGAATTAAAAGATGCAATAGGATTCAGTGGTAGCCGTGAGACTTTACGAAAAATTATGCTTAAGAATGGATTTTCTTTTAAAAGCAATGAAAATGAACGTTCTATGCTTATAGAAAAATACCAGATTTCTGCATGGAGGCACAAGTATTTGAGAGAAATAAATATAAAACGAAACGAAGGAAAGCAAATTGTGTACCTTGATAAAACTTATGTACATCAGAATTATAAAGTTAAAAAGTCTTGGCAAGGAACTTCAACAACTGGTGTCACTACAAAGATATCCTCTGGAAAACGGCATATTGTTGTGCATGCTGGATCTGAGGAAGGTTTTGTGCCTGGTGCATTATTAGTGTTCAGTAGTAAATCCAAATCTGCTGATTATCATGATGATATGAACTCATCGAACTTTATGAAATGGGTCAGAGAAAAATTAATAAATATTTAAGTAAGCCCAGTGTAATTGTTATGGATAATGCCAGCTACCATATAAAACAAATCAATAAACCGCCTATAATGTCTAATACCAAAGCAGATATCCGTAAATGGCTTGTAAATAATGGAATACATTTTGAGGAATATCAGACAAAGGCAGAGTTAATGTGTTTGGTTAATGATAAGAAAACATTGCCTGTATATGAAGCTGAAGAGATTTTAAAAGAACATAATCATGAACTTTTATTGCTGCCACCGTATCATTGTGACTTAAACCCAATAGAGATGGTTTGGAGTCAAGCAAAAAGAAAAATTGCAAGCAGAAACATTGGAATACCAGGAAAGGAAATGGAAAACTTAATAATAGAGTGTTTTAACTTAATTACCCCTAGTGACTGGAAGAAATACACTGATCATGTTTTAAATGTCGAAAATGATTACAAATTAAAAGATGGCATTGTTGAAAACGAACTTGAAAAATTTATTATATCTGTTGGTGCAGACAGTAGTGAAGAGAGTGACTCTGATGATTCCTTGTCATTGTTATCAGGTGTAGAATATTTAGAAACAGATTTTGACTATGAATCAGACTAAAGTATTTTTAGTCTGATTCATAGTCAAAATCTTATCTTAAATTTTCTATTGTGATTAACATGATGATTTTGTGACACCTGTATTATGTAATTTATCCATGGCACTTAATTGTAACAAAAATAAATGTTTTTTTTATTGTAATCTGGTGTTTATATTGACTAATTTAATTTGATAGATAGTGGTTCTGGATCAGAGCAAAAGGTTGTGATGAAAATCCCTTAGGAGACATGTATGTGTTATGAACACATTATAAATATAAGGGCCAGAAATCAAAATTGGCTAACATCACATTTATTAAAAAAATGTGGCCAGAGTCGCCCATATTCATTACAAAAAAACAAAGAAGTCGTTGCAAAAAACACCCTTTTAATTAATGACAAATATGAATTTTTAATATTATAAGTGCTGTTAGCCAATAGGTATAACGAATGGGTTAAAAAAAAGATTCGATTTAGTCCGTCAGTCAGATAATAGAAAAATATTGGATACGTATTTTTTTTCGCTTTAATTTAACAACAAATGGCTTAAGAGGTACTATGCGACGACTTCAAATATGCTTTGCAACAATGTTACTTTAATACAGTTTATCGATACGAAATCAAGTGTCAAAATGGAGTCCAGTGGAGAATGCCGATATTGACATTTCGAAATTGCTCATCATTGATAGAGAATACGAAATAGTGATTTTGACACAATCAAAGTGTCTATTTTTTACGGTGATGACGATTCTTGGTTGTCAGTTGAGTTAGTGAATAGGCCTACTGATATGCTGTTAACTGTACAATTAAGAACAGTCACGCTTTAGTCAAATGTTCCAAAACAAATAATTTTAATTGATATCTAAATGTTAAGATTAAATATAATTAATAAAAGTATCAAAATTATTTTGCAGTACTACATTCAGTGTTTACTGCTTAAGAATTTTTGAAATTGCCGCCCTTTTCTTGTGACACGTTTCGCTTGCCAGACTCTATATAAAAATACCTCATGAATTTAAATAAAAAATAGTTTCTCCGCAAACCGACGCAAATTTTTTGAAAAAGTTTTTTTAAGATAATTTGCGTCGTTATGTAACTGTAAAAAAGTACCCGGCACCGAAAAACTAAAAAAATCATGTCCACTTTCCATACATTAAATGATTTGTATTTTTTGAAGGTCGCGTCTACCGTGAAAATTTGAATTAGTTTTTGTTTAAAATATAATAATATCATTAGCATCTTTTCATCTGGAGGCCAGGGATATTCATAATTTGTAAATAATGTTTCGAGGTTATGGCAGCTGTCAAAACTTGAGATAATTGTGAAGCTATTTTAAAAAATAATGCAAAAATAAATCGAAGCTTTTTAAAGTTTTTAAGTAGTGGCACTTTTTGGACGTCCTGGACGATGTTCATCTTGGGTGCTGGTACGGCCACGGATAAATTCAGCCACCCAATTTTTTATGATCGCATATGAAGGGGTATTTTTTCCCAAAACATCTGTAGATGACAGCAACGTATGCCGCCTCCGTTGTTAATTTATTTTTCTTTGAATTTTGACATTTTTTAAATAACAACGGAGGCCGATAAAATTTATCTGTCACATTAAACATTTTGTAAAAGATACTCCTGTTTTTGTATTTTATGAAAGTATTAGCAAGATTTCCACCTTCCGTCGTTTATATTGTGGTCTTCGAGCAAACAAGAACCGTACAGCAACATATGTTTTATACGCCGTCGTGCAAAATGATGAAAACTCGTAGTGTTGCACGAAAGGAAGCTGCTAATACTACCGGTATGACTTCAGAAGTACAAATAAATCAGGAACGGATGTGTGACGCACCTTCTTTGTCTAAAAAATCGACCAGAACAAAATCGTCATCTTCATCAGTACGAGCACGTAAGTTGCAATTGGAATTGCTAGCCGCTGAAGAGAAAGCACGTATTGATAAAGAACTTATTGATAAAAAGCTGGCCGCTGATTTAGCAGATTTAAATAGTTACAGTTCACAAGCTAGTTCAGTAAGGTGTTCAAATAGTGACATCGGCGAATGGATGGATCGCAGTCAATGTGAGTTAAACCAACAGATTGCTAACGATTATGGTAAAAACAATACGGCAAATCTGTGCCCGCCGCAGGTGATCGCTGCTGAGGCGACCTCCGGCACTAATGTAATTCACCAGTTGGCTACTGCACTGAAGGACCTCGCCAAGTCAACAACAACCACCGATACTAATACCAACCTGATAAATAGATTGAGCACATCGAAAGGGCTTCCCTGGTTTTCTGGGGACCCTATGGAATGGCTCCAGTTCAAACAAGCGTTTGATGAATCGACTGCGATTTGC